AGATTTAATTTTTGTTATACATTTTATTTTAATATTTGAAATTAAATTATATTTATTACATTTAACTTCAATCATATAAACTTTGATTCATTTTTTAAACATTTAATCACTTATTTTCATAGCTGCCCTGGAAAACGCTAAAACAAATCATTGAGTACTACTACATGTGGAAGACCACCGATCGTTACGTGCAGCAGAAGCGCGTGAAGGCCGTGGAGGCGGAGCTGAAGCTCAAACAGGTCTACATACCGCAATATAATAACAACGGCAAGGGCAATGGAGCAGCCGTGAAGGCGAGCGGAGGAATTTATAATGGAACCACGAACGGGAGCACCGATCTCTCCAACAATGGCAAACCCTGTGAATCATGCGGAGGAACAAAATCAACACAGGTAAACCACCAGAATGCAAATATTGTGTATTTTTTTTATTATAATTCCGTATCCCTCCACAGTGGAACTCGGTCAACAGTGGGCACAGTACGTGTCGCCTGTGCCAGAGCTGCTGGGAGTACTGGCGGAGGTACGGCAGTATGAAGTCTGCAACTAAGGGCGACGGCGGTGACAGCGACGCCAAGAAGAAGGCAACTTCAGCAACGTCGACGCCGATAGCCACGTCAACGGGAACAGGACCAGCCACAACGCCCACAGCTGTGGTCGACCTCAACGACGACGAAAAAATCAGTGATCTAACCAATCGTCAGTTGCACAGGTAGGTGCATTCTGAAAGAAAATAGATCTAGAGATAGGAAAATCAATAAAAAAGTTTTTTAATGCGAAAATACCCTTTAGCAATATTAAACGTCTAATTTCTTAAGGCTTTTAGTTAAAAAGTACATATTTCTTTAACATGTGCTTAATTTTTAAAGATGATTACTTATAGCGGAACTATTTTCTTGCCTTGTACAAATTATCGGTTTTTAATTAATAACTTACAATTATATACATTTTTTATGTTTGTGTCAATGTAACATTCCTTACTTATTATTAAATTAAAGAAATGGCCTGATTTCAGTCCGATTTCGAGTTTAAACAAGCAAAACGTGCACTTTTTATTTGCTCTTGTTAGTTTTTTAGTGTTTGCCAAGTGCTTATAATATTTTTCTCTCCTACAGATGTTCTATTGTCAATTGCGGTAAGGAGTTCAAGCTTAAGACCCACCTGGCCCGCCACTATGCGCAAGCACACGGCATCGCCATCAGCTCAGGATCGCCTCGACCCATCATGAAGACGCGCACTGCCTTCTACTTACACACCAATCCCATGACCCGGGTTGCGCGCGCTATCTGCCGCAGCATCGTAAAGCCGAAAAAGGCGGCACGACAGAGCGCGTACGCCATTAACGCCCTGCTGGTGAAACAAGAATGTATGTCTTATAAACGAAGCTAACTAATAATGACTTATATTTAACCAATTTTATTTCCTTTTCACAGTTACAAATCGTATTAGTGGAAAATCGCAAGCGGAAATCAAGAAGTTGCTTTTGTTGAAGCCCAAGGATCGAGGCAGTGTCACCAAAATTGCCAACCGGCTAGGTGCACCGGGTAGCGGACCACATGAATGGCTCATTCTGACGCCCAAGGACAAAATGCCGCTACCGGCTGTCGTCTCGTTTCCCAAACCCCCGAAAGCGCCGGATGGCAGCTTAGTCTATGACCGAGTGCCGAACAAGTCCCCCGATGTCGTGGCCGTACCGGTCGACAAAGAGCTCACAGTAATTCCAACGCAAGCCACATCAACGATACGAAAGCGGGCACACGAGGAGCAGCAACTGAATGGCACTGAAGGTAAGTTTTCAATTAAAGACGTAGTCAGAACAGAGCTTATAAAGTAGACAAAGAACTTCTGTATTCAGCAATCCCATCGAAATATCATATTTGCTTGTTTTATACCCGTTACTCGTAGAGTAAAAGGGTATACTAGTCTCGTTGAAAATGAAGATTCTTGAGGTCCCGGGACAGCGCAAGTTTATTTCAACATCTTGCCACTCCCACTCTAACGCCCACAAATCGCGAAAAACTAAAATCTCGGGAACTATTAGAGCTAAAAGTTTAAATTCATTCATATCAGGCCACACCCATCCATACGCCCACCAAGCGCAAAAGACGGTTTTCGCATTTTCAAGAAAACCTGACATCTCGGTAACTATAAGTGATAGAAAGTTCGGATTAAACATGTAGATTTTTATGATGTCCCAAATGCGAATTGTTTTTTTTCCATCTAGCCACGCCCACCCCAACGCCCACAAAACCCGAAAAACCAAAAATGCAAAAATCTCGGGAACTAAAACGAGTTTTTATCCGGACACGCCAACTCTAACGCCTACAAACCGCGGAACACTGTGGCGTCTATAATAATATTATGAATGCCTTCGTTTGACGTTGTATAACTTATTTCTGTTTATATCTATCGATTTACGAAAGATTTTTCAAATCGGAACATTATTTCACTACTTATGAAGAAATTTAGGTTATAAGGCCTCACATGGGCAGTGACGTAACTATCAGTTACTCAACATGCTTTCTCCGACAATAGGTGGCGCTTTGGTAATTTTCACTAGAAAAATGAATATTTTAAAATTGTGTAAAACAGTAACGGGTATCATATAGTCGCGGCACTCGACTATAGCGTTTCCTCTTGTTTATTAGTAAAAAGGATGTTATGGTTCATTTTATTCAAACTGACATTCAATGTTGCTTTCCTTATTGCAGTTACTATAGTTCCCAGCGGACCTCCTGCAAAGCGGCCGAATAAGGATCCCATGCCTTCACATTGTCCCAGTCCTGAGCAGTTTGCAGCTATGATGGCGGCATCTGGACAGCCGCTTTCCAGGCATCATGTGAGTAATAACTTCATTTGAAGTGGTCAATCTTGAACTTATTCTGAAATGTTATCCTTTCAGCTAAATGGTAAACAAAAGATTGCGCAGATGGCTCGCGGTGGCAACGGTCGCAAACAGGTCATCAGTTGGATGGATGCACCGGATGATGTTTACTTCAGGGCCAACGATACACATAAGTGAGTAAAAGTTCTAAAATAATTTGTTCTATTGAACTTTTGTTATGGATAAGAGAATTTTAAGTTTTTTAAAGAATAAAAGACTTCGGTAAATTTAAATTTATTTTAAATATCGAGAATTCAAGTAATTAAAACCAAATTTCTAAAAATATATTTTGTTATAGAAAAACGCGAAAAATACTCTCCGCCGTAGATCTGCGTCGTGCCGCGCGTAAGCCATGGCGTACACTGCCCATCAAGCCTGCGGCGCCCGAGCCGAGTAGCAGGCCCATTGAATCACAAATCGTCATACTGGACTGACCGTCGCCGGCTAATACATTAGCATCATCAGCAGCCGTAGCAGCATCGGCAACCAAGTTGTTATCGTCCTCAGAAAACAGATTCGAGCAGCAACATCCTCCATTTCCATACACCATGGATGCACTGCTGAACTAGTGAACAGCATTCTCTGGTTTGACAGGCTTGCCATGTACATACCCCCGCAACATAAGGCACACAGACGTGTGGACAGGCATTCGACTTAGGATCAGTGTAGTTACAGCATCACTGTATGACAGGAACAACGGCAAAGGATAGCAACCACAAACCACTTTATTAGCGCTTAAATATATGTCTTTTTAAAAACAAATAGTAAGATAATAAGTGTTAAGGTCTGTAGTAGCAGTAACGGAACGCGAAAGCAACAAAATATTTATAAATATTTTATATATTTTTTAAAATTTAAAATCTCAACACACCGAACGCAAGCACACACTCCCTCTATGAAAGTGTACGCTTCAAGGCATTAAACTCAAAAGTTCGTCAATTCGTTTATTGCGCAACGCATTTGCAAGTATTTCTTCAAATATATGTGCATGTGAGCTCTTGAGACATGTTCTGTCGCACTTTCAAACCACGCTTTAAAGTTCCATGTTTTATTTCCTAAAAATCTAGCTAAGAACCAGATACGTAATTATGAAATTGAAAGGCCTCCGTAAGTTCTAAATATTTTTGTGTCCAGACTTGAAATTTATGCATATGAAAAGCCGAAAGTTATAATTGGAATTGTTTGAATGCTTTACATTGAGGAGTGGAGAAATTTAACATTGTTAATAAATGTGACGTGCAAAACTACAAAATTATAAACCCATAATTTATGCTGTAACTAATAACGGAAAACTGCAAACAAAACAAATTGTACAGTAAAAACTAAAACGTTAAAATTCGAATAAAATGTATTTTCATAATTTATGTAAACAAACGAAAGTTCGGTAATTTAAAGAGCTATCACACCACACACACGTCTACACACAATCCACACCCACATATAGCATATTATTTACGCATATAAATTAGTACGAACCTAAGCCGCAAATACATTTAAAAATGTATAAATAACACGATGACAGCGTTAAAAATCACAAAGAATGTCAAGACTCTAGAGGTGGAGCAGCAAGGCAAGCTGAAACCAGCTGAATATAATTGGAAAATTAAATGATAATGACGAAGTTTCGATTGTAAGCCAACATACTTTTAACTTTACGATTTAAGCAATTTTGTAAAATAAAAACACTTCAAATTAAACGGTTAGTTAAGTCAAAGTAAGAGAACGGAACGAAAACTGCAACTATTGTCAAATTCAGGCCCATGACCACAGCAAAAGCCGTGCGAATGTTTAACCATCAATCTATTAATTGTTTCTTTTTCATCCCACAAACATCATAACTAACTTTAAACCAAAATATTAAAGTCGGCAACTTCAAGCAGCGAAAACCGCAATAAAAATAGAAGAGACAAGCAACAGAAGCAAATCAAACAGAGCTATATACATAATTATATACCTATATATATATATTATATACAGATATACAATATAACAGTACATACATTGCGCATTGGAGAATAACAGTACGCATAAACATTTTTACAGAGCAAGAAACTGACGAAGATGACGGCGGGACAAGCAACCGAAAAGTTTTCCAAATAAAGTTTTAAAACTAAACATTTTTCCTAAAAATATGCAGATTTGAGGATTTTATTTACGAGGTCTTTAATAAAAATATTTAACAACTCTTAGCTATTATTCGGCATAGCTGGCAATGCAGAGGGAGGCATTAGTTCCCCCGAAACCAAAGGAATTCTTAAGGGCAATTCGACGTTTTTGATCTGGTAACCATTTGGTGGCTTCCCTTACCACATTGACGTCTACATCAAGTTGCTCGATATTGATGGATGGCGGAAGCTTGTTCTCTGCACAGGCAAGCACCACAAACAGGGCTTCCAAATTACCCGAGGATCCCAATAGGTGTCCATGTGCTCCCTTGGTGGAGGAGACCTTAACTTGAGAAGTGTGTTCGCCAAAGACACGTCCTATAGCATGCGACTCGATGCGATCGCCAGTGGGCGTAGATGTTGCATGGGCATTTACATAGGTTATTTCAGCCGGAGCAATCTCAGCGTCTCGTATGGCTCGCTTCATGGCCAGAGTAGCTCCGGCGCCGTCCTCGCTGGGCGAGGTTATGTGATACGCATCTCCGGACAACCCGTAGCCTAAGATCTCTGCCAAAATGGGAGCTCCTCGGCCACGAGCATGCTCCAATTCCTCCAGCAAAAGCACAGCTGCTCCTTCGCCCATAACAAAGCCATCTCGGAATTTGTCAAAGGGTCTGGAGGCCACAGCTGGATTATCGTTGAAGGCGGTACTCAGAGCTCGTAACCTGCAAAATCCTGCGATGGAAAGTGGATCTATACAGGCCTCGCCACTTCCCGCCAGCATTACATCCGCATCTCCATTGCGAATGAACCGCATGGCGTCGCCCAGTGCATGGGCTCCCGTTGCACAGGCTGTGGACACCGAGTGGTTGGGTCCTCTTAGACCATGCCTCATGCTTATGTGGCCACACGCCATGCTGGGCAGGAGTCTTGGAACAAAGAAGGGGCTGACTCTGTTGTAACCTCGCTGCAGTTGGTTCCAGGCTCCATAGACCTCCGCCAGGTCAAACATGCCCATGCCCACGCAAACACCAAATCGTTCCAGCTGTTCCCCGCTTAGGTCCTTGGTGTTTAGTTTCCCGGTGGCCAGAGCCTCCTCAGCAGCTAGAACAGCGAACTGCGTGGCGGGGCTCATCAGCTTGATGTCCGATTTGGTCAAGTACTGGCCCAGGTGCAAGTTATCTCTTGGAATTTGAGCTGCTACCTGGCATGGTAATCCTTTAAACTCCGGTCCCAGTCGAGAGATGGCCGAATCGCCGGCCAGAATGCGCCTCCAGGAATCGGATCCATTGTTGGCCAGCGGCGTGACGGCACCCCTTCCTGTGACCACAACTCTTCGACGGCCTGATTGGGTGGAAGAGTTTCGCACTTGGTGGGCAAATACACTAAAGCTCTTTAAGAAACGCATTTCAATATTTACATGATCAGGTCAGTGAGACCGGTGGGACCGTTAAAATATACGTAACGACTCTTAAAATATACTAAAAGAATTTAAATATGCACCACAAAAATACCGCCGGATTTTTAATGATTTTTCTTATAAAATTTATATATAAATCTCGTTCATTTTAAAAATTTTTATAATAATTTAAAAATTTCAAATACGTATTATATTATTAACATATTTTAAGCATTCAGCATTAATCTCTCGGTTAATTTTCAAATTAGGCAAATGTTAAGGTATATATTAAAAAAATATAATAACATTTTTAAAATATCATGATTTTATCAGGAGTTTAATATATTTTTTTAGGAATTGAAAGACTTGAATACCCCTAATAAAATAAACAAGATGCGCACAGAGCTTGAGATCCCCTTACATAATTGTGGGCCATGAATTTCGCCGGCAAAATCGTTCTAATTACGGGAGCAAGCTCCGGAATTGGTGCTGCAACAGCCGTAAAGTTTGCCAAGTACGGAGCTTGCCTGGCGCTGAATGGACGCAATGTAAAAAACCTTAAGAAGGTGGCCGATGAGTGCAGCAATGTGAGTCAATCCCAGCCAGCGCTTGTGATGGGCGACATCGCTAATGAGGCGGATACTCAAAGGATCTGGAAAGAGACCTTAGAGAAGTACGGAAAGCTGGACGTGCTGGTCAACAATGCCGGAATTATCGAGACAGGCACCATTGAGACTACCAGTTTGCAGCAGTACGATCGTGTTATGAATACCAACCTGAGAGCGATCTACCACTTGACTATGCTTGCTACTCCGGAGCTAGTGAAGACTAAGGGAAACATTGTGAACGTGTCCAGTGTCAACGGTATACGTTCCTTTCCCGGTGTCCTGGCCTATAACATATCCAAAATGGGCGTGGATCAGTTCACCCGCTGCGTGGCCCTGGAGCTGGCATCCAAGGGTGTTCGGGTCAACTGTGTCAATCCTGGCGTGACAGTGACAAATTTGCATGCCCGCGGTGGCATGGATCCGGAGACGTACAAAAAGTTCCTAGAACATTCAAAAACCACCCATGCCTTGGGTCGTCCTGGGGATGTCGAGGAGGTGGCTGCGGCCATTGCCTTCCTGGCCAGCGATGCTGCCAGCTTTAGCACTGGGGTCAGCCTGCCTGTGGACGGAGGTCGCCATGCTATGTGCCCACGTTAATTCTGTGAAGTGAAAAATCCAAAAGGACTCTTAAGAGGTGGAATTTTAAATAGTCCTCGGCATGGATCATTCCATGCGTAAATGCATTTAAATCGTTGTTATTATTTTTATTTTTAATTTTTTTATGCTTTGCTTGTGTATACAATTGATTGCCATTTACCCAGAATGGAAAAATAATAAATATTTTAAATCACTTAATTATATTAAAAATAGCAAATCATTCGATTTCTGTTTGAAATATTACATTTAAATTTGGATTTAAAGAAGTTTGAAGTTTTTTAAGAAATCTTTTATTATTTCCGTTATAAAAATAAGAATAGGCTGTAGTATTTTCAATTTTATAATATATTTATATCCTCATTTTGGTGTAACTACATACATTTATTAATAAGAACCAACTTCCAGCTAGTTAGTATCAAGATATGTTTCCGTGTTAAGTCATCTACGAAAGTAGTTCACACTTTCCATCCGAAACTCGGAAAATCGGCTCAATGGGTAGCAAGGGCAAGGCGGGTCTGGACTTCTCAACCAAGGTGGTGCTGATCACGGGAGCAGCTTCCGGAATCGGGGCCGCCACGGCAGAAATGTTCTCTAAGCTGGGTGCCTGCTTGGCGCTGGTTGATCGGGAGGAGGAGAATCTCTTGTGTGTAATGAAAAAGTGCATGAAGTCAGGCCACGAGCCATACGGCATAGCCGGTGATCTGCTCAAGCCGCCGGAGATCGAGTGTATTGCAAGAAAGACCACAGAGCGCTTCGAAGGTAAACTGGATGTTCTGGTAAATGGAGCGGGTATTATGCCCACGGGCACGCTGCAGAACACGGAGCTGTCCTGCTTCACGCACGTAATGGAGGCCAATGTGAGGTCTGGTTTCTACCTGACCAAGTTATTGCTTCCTCAGCTGCTAGAATGCAAGGGCAGTATCGTTAACGTGTCCGGCGTCAGTGGGTTACGCGCTTTTCCTGACTTGTTGGCATATAATATGTCCAAGGCGGCAGTGGACCAGTTCACCAGGTCCCTGGCACTGGATCTTGGTCCACATGGTGTCCGGGTGAATGCAGTTAACCCGGGTGTGATACGTACCAATCTGCAAAAAGCCGGTGGCATGGATGAACAAAGCTATGCCGAATTTCTAGAGCAGTCCAAAAAGACCCATGCTCTCTGTAGGATTGGTGAGCCAATAGAGGTGGCGTCTGCCATTTGTTTCCTGGCCAGCGAACTAGCCAGCTTCGTGACCGGAGTCACGCTTCCTGTGGACGGTGGCAAACAAGTTATGTGTCCGCGCTAATCTCTACAAAGGAAATCAATCCGATTGGGTCCATCTGAGAGCCTCTTGCTTTTTAATTTGTTGCCCACCGATCATTATCATAAAAATTTAAAATCTTTAGTATTCAATTGAAAAATGATTTCATAGCAAATGTATGTACGTTGCTTTTTCGAAGAAAGGAGAAGGGATCTGTAGCGCTCTTTATTTTTAAATCCGATTACAAAATTCAATTAAAACCCCATATCTACTTAAAAGTGCCATTTTGTTTCCTTTTTTTTTTTTAATTTCCGTTGCACAACTATCCAGTTTCAAAATAATATTGCTCCTAATTTCTAGCAAGCATATTTAATCTCTTCAGCTGGTATATTAATCGTTTCTATTGAAATATATTGTACACTACATAGGTATCAATAAGGTTCTTAACTTAATCCTACAATTCCATTATTCCTATGTTCAAACGGACTTATTTTAATCAATAATTTATACATAATGTGCGTTCCCTTTAGGACCTGCTTGTCTGCTTAAATTTTTTAACAAACTTGGGATTAAAGAAAAAAAAGTTTTAAATTGTAGCCCTATCCTTAAAAAATAGTTTATTTGTGAATCGGTTCCACAAGTATTTTAATTTTTCTGACAAAGAATAATTCGTTAACACTTTTTTCCTTTTTATTAGATTTACTAGACAGACATAAACAAATGTTCTATATAAAAAACTATACAGAAATAAGGAAGAAGATTTATAGGGATCCTTTATTCTCATCTGGGGCACATAGCATGACGACCTCCGTCCACAGGCAGACTGACTCCGGTACTGAAGGTGGCGTCATCGCTGGCCAGGAACGCAATGGCCGCAGCTACCTCCTTGACTTCTCCGGGACGACCCAGAGCATGAGTGATCTTGGCGTGCTCCAGGAATGTGGCGTACGCCTCCTCATCCAGTCCACCACGTCGCTGCAGCTCTGTGATGATCACGCCGGGATTCACAGCGTTAACACGGACACCCTTTGGAGCCAGCTCCAAAGCCACACACCTGGTAAACTGATCCACAGCAGCCTTTGACACGTTGTAGGCCAAGACACCTGGAAAAGACCGGATGCCGTTGACACTAGAAACGTTGACAATGTTTCCTTTGGTCTTGATCAACTCAGGTGTGACTAGAGTGGTCAGTTGGTAAAGCGAACGCACATTGGTGTTCATAACGCGGTCGAACTGTTCCAGACTGGTGTTCTCAATGCTACCCAGCTCCAGAATTCCGGCATTATTTACCAGGACGTCGATACGTCCATACTTGGCCAAGGTGACGGATACGATATTTTTGACATCCGACTCGTTGTTCATGTCAGCTGCCACCTGAATGGCAGGTGCTCCTCCAGCTGCATCTATCTGCTCGGCAGTTTCCTTGAGCTTATCCACATTCCTTCCCACGATGGTGAGGAGGCCTCCAAGTTTGGCCAACAGAACTGATGTGCCTGCTCCAATTCCCGAACTGGCGCCGGTCACGATTATGACTTTATCTTTAAAACTGGGCATGTTGAAGTGATCTGCTCGAAGGTGGGAATGATGGTGATTGGTGACATTGAAGACCCAAAAAGTCAACAACTTTTCGGGTGTGCAATCCGATTATAACTATCGATACAGTGGAACTATGAAAGCTATTTCCATCGGTTGTGAAATTCAAATTACCATCGTGCTTTCGGTGTTAATTAAAATTTAATTTGTTAGTGTTTTTATATACTATGTTGTTTATGTTATGATGGCCAACCTTGGCATTTCTTCTAAATATGAATGTGTTTACTAGTGATTGACTTCTCTTTATCTATGTACAGTCGGAGCTTATTTCGTGCAGCTACCAAAAAAAAACGCTTGAGTTATTATTTCTGCCAAACTAAAAAAGTTTAAACGCAGTTTTTTAACTACTAACATACTTATTTAACTAAAACGATTTTCAAATTCATAAAAACAAAAAGCTTATGTAATAAAAACATAAAATTCAGCCTTTTTTCATGCCGCAGCTAATTTCGTGCAGCAGATTCTACTTAAATTATTATTTGTTTTGCTTTGAGACGATTTCTCATGGAAGAAACTAACTTTTTGGTGGATTCCACTAGGATTTTTGGCCATTCTTCCATAGGAACAGTATTCCGATTCCTCTTCCTGACCAATATTTCCCATACATTTTCGATCCCTATTAAATCTGTACTGTACTGGCGTTATATCGACATGAGGGCAGCTCCTGATAAGCCAGGACTTCACTTTGCCTGCTGAACACAGCGGATCCTTGACTATGTAAAATCGAAAACCATTTAATCAATAGTTTTTGTGAGGATATGGTATTACAATGCATTGTATTTCGGTCACTTTAACAGGAGGTGTACTAATCCGTGTACCACATTATCCATCTGGAGGCTGCTTGTTAGTCCCAAATGTAGTCTTAAAAATTTTATAGGAATTTTGCGGTTGATATTATCTTCTGTGGTAATGCTGTAGTCTTTGACAGAAAATTAGTGCAGTTTTTTTACATATGCATACTTCCAAAAATAATTTTAAGTTTTTGTTGTATTAGCAGATAACAGCGGATGTGTTGTAGCGAATTATTTTCGAATGGCCAGTCGTTAAGATGTCAGTATAGATTAATATAACATATAGTGTATTTGTGTCGTTGTTTTGTTAGAAGCTGTGTTTTGGTTATCGTTGTACCAGAAGGCCTTTGAAGGTCTCTTTAAAAGCGATACATTTTGGTCGGAATAACTTCAACGTTTACCCATCTCTAATTCAGCCTTCCCTTTAAACAATCGAATTGCGCCGTACTTCAAACATCTGGCTCCAATTTTACTCCAACTTGTGGAAAGCATTTATAATTTGGTCTGTAAATGGAATTTAATCAGCATGTGGATAGCGCCCTGTGCACATTCGTAGACAATACGAAGTTCTTCAAGGAAATGGCCGATGGTAAGATTTATAATGATTTGAAGAAAGCACATTTAAAGTAAGTCCTTACAAACAGTTATGTCTAAAATCCGTGATGACGAGGAAATGCAAAAACTATTAGAGGAAAGCGCCCAGATACGCTTGGAGCACGGCGAAAAACTTATCCAACTAAAAAGCAAAAATCAGAAATTGAAACAGGCGATGCATCAGGCCAAAAACGAGAGCGCTACCATTGAGGAGTTCGAGGGAAATTGGAACCAGCGCCGGAAGGCAGTGGAGAAGATCCGAATCAATGCGAAGAAAACGGTCGACTTCAAGAACTTTGAGAAGAGCTTAACTGCCCAAGTTTCTGGAAAAAATTGCGGAACCGTTGGCTTAGACCAAGATGACGACATCACGGAGGGAATCGAGGAGACCGGCGGCGAGATCTTCTCACTCTTCGATCCTTGGTCCAAGGCATTAATGAAGAACCCTGTTCGCAACAAGAACTGCGGTCACATCTACGACCGCGATTCAGTGATGTTGATCATCAAGGATAATATCGGCGTTCGTTGTCCGGTTCTCGGCTGTGCAAACAAAACCTACATTCAGCCATCGCACTTGGTTGAAGATACCATCGTCCGACAGAAGGTACAACAGAAACTGGCCGAGGATGCTGAGTCGTATGATGATAGCTCCTCAGAATGACACTATATCGTAAATCTATTGAAATATAAACATTATTGAAATTATTAAGACTTGGTTCATTCTTATACAGCAAGGGTTCCATTGTCTAGTCTTTGCTGTTGGATCTTTAGCTATCCATAGCTTAATATCATAGCACGTTTTTGTTCTTTTCCGCCGTTCCGTACTGTAAATTATTAAACCAAACAAAAATTAAAATTAAAATTAAGCTTTTAAGTATTTAATAAAATTTAATGTTAATAAATTGAACTGAATATTGTGTTGTCGAAGACATTATGAGTTGCGTCTTCATAAGCTCTTCCTTATCTCGGGCACATGGCATGGCGACCTCCGTCCACTGGAAGGCTGACTCCAGTGCTGAAGCTGGCGGCCTCGCTGGCCAGAAAGGCAATGGCTGCCGCAACCTCCTTGACATCACCAGGACGACCAAGGGCGTGTGTTACCTTGCAGTGCTCCAGGAACTTGGCGTACGTCTCCTCGTCCATGCCGCCACGCTTGTGGATATCGGTTACAATTACACCAGGATTCACGGCATTGACTCGTACTCCTTTGGAGGCCAACTCCAATGCCACGCATGCCGTAAACTGATCAACTGCCGCCTTGGACACGTTGTAGGCCAGGACACCCGGGAAGGCGCGTATCCCACAAACGCTAGAGACATTTACTATGTTACCCTTGGTCTTGATCAGCTCCGGAGTCGCCAGCATGGTGAGTTGGTACAAGGACCGCACATTGGTGTTCATCAGGCGATCAAACTGCTCCAAACTTGTGTTCTCGATGGATCCGCTTTCTAGGATACCCGCATTGTTAACCAGCACATCGATGCGTCCGTATTTTGCAAGAGTAGCGTCCACTATCTGTTTCACCTCCGCCTCTTTGGTCATATCCGCCTGAAGTTCCACGGCTGGAGCTCCACCGATTGCCACAATATTGTCGGACGTCTCCTTTAACTTCTCCATGTTGCGACCAACGATGACCAGTTGACCTCCAAGGCTAGCCAAATGGACGGCTGCACCCGCCCCAATACCAGAGCTAGCTCCGGTGACAATAATTACTTTGTCCTTGAAGGATGACATCGTGGGAAGTTCTGATGATGCAAAACGAAGGTCGATCGCAGGCTGACAGCGCACTGATTGCCTGGCAGCACTGCTCCAGCTGATGAAGAGCTTTTCCAAAACAACTGTGGCTATAAAGCTTGTCGAAAACTTCTAGCTTTTTACAGTTCAGACTTTTTATACATATGTCTACATCTCAATAAAAGTATGTACATTTTTTTTGGTTTTAAAACATGAACAAGAGGAAACGCTATAGTCGAGTGCCGCGACTATATGATACCCGTTACTGTTTTACACAAATTTAAAATATTAATTTTGCTAGTGGAAATTCACAAGGCGCCACCTATTGTCAGAGGAAGTATGTTGAGTATGCTTATAGTGACGTCACTGCCCATGTGAGGCCTTACAACCTTAATTTCTTTATAAATAGCGAAATAATGTTCCGATTTTAAAAATCTTTGGTTAATCGATAGATATTAACAGAAATAAGTTATACAAGGTCAAACGAAGGCAATCATAATAATATTATAGATGCCACAGTTTTCCGCGGCTTGTGGGCGTTAGAGTGGGCGTGGCCGGCAAGTTGCAGAGGCATCTCTTAAATACGTGTTCCTAAGCAAAATTGTGAAGCTCTTATAGTTTTCAAGATTTTTGCATTTTTGGTTTTTCGGGTTTCGTGGGCGTTAGAGTGGGTGTGGCTTGATCGGAAAAAACCAATTCGCATTGGGAGCATTATAAAAACATACATGCTTGATCCGAACTTTCTATCTCTTATAGTTACCGAGATATAAACTTTTCTAGAAAATCCGAAAACGGTCTTTTGAGCCTTGTGGGCGTATGGGTAGGTGTGGCCGGATAGTAGAACCACTATAAGATGCGCTAGCATCTAAAGATTATACTTTCTGAATTTCAACGTTCTAGCTCCAATAGTTCCTGAGATTTCAGCAATTTTAGTATTTTGCGATTTGTGGGCGTTAGAGTAGGCGTGGCTGGATGCTGCAATAAACATGCGCTGTCCCGGGACCTCAAGAATTTTCATGGTTAATCTCAACTTTGTATCTGTTGTAGTTCCTGAGATCTCAGCGTTCATACGGACGGACGGACGGACAGACGGACATGGCTCAATCGACTTCGCTATTGATCCTGATCAAGAATATATATACTTTATAGGATCGCAAACGCTTCCTTCTATCTGTTACATACTTTTCAACGAATCTAGTATACCCTTTTACTCTACGAGTAACGGGTATAAAAATCTGCACATTTCAACTTTTTATACATACATAATAGATCAATAGGAATACCAAGAACAATAGGTTGGTTGACAAAACATGAAAAAAAGTATAATTTGCTAGTCTTTAATCGAAGGAGAACCTCTGTGTCTGCCATTCGGTATATAGCCGCTTGACGGTTTGGAGGGTTAAACATGACAGTGGGTCGTTCATATCACAAAAATCATGAAAGAGATCCGTAATCCGGAGCATAGAGTTTTTGGTCAGGCGGCTCCACTGTCGCAGAGTCTTGTCGGAATCTCTGTACATTTCAGCCGTGCGGCAGCTCTGCCAATGCCGCTGTTGGTCCATCAACTGATCCGCTTTTCGCCACAAAAGCTTCTCTCCTTTTCGGGCGAAGATCCGATTACAAATCTTCTTGACATGCATCTCAAGCTCGATATCCAAAACAGAAATTTTCTCCATGAGATTAGGCGGAATGTCTACATTTGAGCGAAACAGGGCTTCCATTAGCATTTTAAAGACTGGCCTGGGCAGATTCATCTTGTTCTTGGTCTCCTGCAGATAGATCTGTTCCAGTTTTTCATTCTCAAGAGTTTCACCCTCGTCCTCGGAACTGGTGTAAGCTTCTTTATTCTGGAAAACACTGATTAGATTCCTAGCTGTTTGCCAAATTGCTTCCTGGACATATTTGTTTTTAGCTTTAACCCGTGCCTCTGACAGTTTCTTCTTTAAAAGGCAGTTTTCGGCCGCCAATATGTCTGGATGGTAATCGAAAGTCCGAGATTTTCCCAAAAGTTGCCCAAGCACTCGCCTTTGCTGAGTATGGTCCTCTGTTAGCCTCATTTTATCTGGGCTAATCTCAGTTGTTTTGATCTGTGGATAACGCTTCTTTCCAGTTAGTATGCTGTAAGTCAAGCCAAAATCACCAGCTTCTCGTCCAGCTCTTTCTCGCTGCTCAGGCTCTTTGTTTTCAGTGAAATAAGAACTTGATCGAAGCTTTTTACGCCACTCGGCCACCCTATTTCGAACATAGGAGCCATAAGCCTTCTGTTGCTCTGTGTTTCCATATGGGGATGGGGAAACACTCTGTTGGACCACTGTGTAAGTGTTTTGGACAGGACAGTAGCTACCCACCAGGGAGTAACAGGGTTCTGGACAAGAGTTGTTTTCGCTGCTAGAGGAGACACAGCAGTTGTTCCTCTGAATTGGAGAATCCTCTGCTTCGGAATCATCTTCACTACCAATGAAGCGAGACCAACGTTCGCCGCATGACTTCAAAGAACCTGGCTGAAAGTACTCGTGACTAGAAGTAAGCATGGGATTTTGGGTTGTGGGATGCTGGGCATTATCTTCAAAGTTTAGTCTCCGTTTTGCTATATGCAAAAAGTTTTCACCCTCAGTAGTTGTTCCATTATTTTTCTTGAACGTCATTATGGACTTTCTCTGGGATATTCGTTTGTTTAAGGGATTCTGCTCCCCTGCTTCCAAACGCAATTCCTGGAGCACTTGACGTTGCTCCTGAACTTGCTCACTAATCTTGCTATTACTCTCTTGCAGTTTATTTAACCTGACTCCAACACTCTGATATAAATCTGCTTTTGGCTGGTCACAAACTTCTTCTCGCCCGTCTTTGCTTGTTGAACCCTGTGCCATATCTCCCGGAGGCTTCTCCACAAGCGCATTCTGTGCCTCAACTTTGGATGACCGCCTAATTGCAATGGTTTTCTGGTCCTCTGACTTCGCAAACTTTTCTAGACTTTCAGACTTTCGGACCCCAATTTCCTCATATTTATTTTGCTGCACCTCATTTTTCTGGTGAAGCTCCAGTCGCATTTCTAGATGTTTTCGCATTTTTTTTGCCACCTCTCTTGTCTCACGTTCTATCTGATGTTCTCTTTCCATTGCCTGTCTTACCTGCTGGTGTCTTTGAGTCCTATCCTTTTGCTCTCCATCCCGTCTATGCCGTTGTAAATGCTCTTCTTCATATCGTTTTACGAGCTGATTTTCCTCTTCGATTCTGCGCAAACACTCTTCCTCAAGCTTTTCCATCTCCTGCCGATCCTTTATAAGTTTCTCTCTTTTTAATAGGTAATTTTCTTCTCTTTCTCTTTGCTGTGTAGCACTATCCTGTATTTTTTTTTTACATTCTTCAATTATTCTTTTCTGCCGTTCATGGTCTCTTTCCTTCCTCTCTTCTTGGTCTTCCATTTGAAGCCACCTTCGAATTATTTGTTGCCTTTTAAGATCTTCTGCTTTTTCCTGTTTTTCCATTTCTTCTCTTTCGCATTTATTGCGTTTAAGCTTTTCCAATACTCTTTGTTTCCTTATATGTTCTTCTTCTTTTGCCAGCCTTTCGCACTCTTCCTGCTCTTTTTTCTCAAATTCTCGCTTTTTTCGTTCCTCATTTCGCTTATTTTCTCGCTCCTGTACCTCGTTAAGCTTAATTTTGAGTTCATCTATTTTTTTTTCTTCCAGTTCGCGCTCTTCCCGCGTCTTTCTTTCAAACTCTTCTCTTTCTTTTCGTTCGTTTTCTAGTTTTTGCAATACTTTCTGTTCAAACTCTTCCCTTTCCCGGGTATCTTTAAGTTCCTGTTCCCTCTTTCTTTCTAGGTCGGCCTTTTCGTTTTTATCAGCGTCCAATCTTTTTTCCAATTCCTTTCGTTCAAACTCTTCTCTTTCCTGGCGTTCCTTCAGATTTTTGAGTTCCTCCTGCCTCTTTTTTTCGAAGTCTTCTCGCTCTTTCTTCTCGGTTTCTAGTTTTTCTAAAACTTTTCTTTCAAACTCTTCTCTTTCCTGGCGTTCCTTTAAACTTTTAAGCTCATGTTCTTGCTTTTTTTCTATTTCGTCTCTATGTTTTCGATCTTTTTCTAATTTTAAATAGTTTCTTTCTTGTCGTTCCTTGATTACTTTAGACTCGCTTTTCCTTTTTCTTTCGATATCATCTTTTAAATCAATTTCTTCTTTTTCTTTGCCTGACAAAAAGCATTTAACATCGTTTTGATCTGTTTCTAGTCTTTTTCTCCCTCTTGTTCTTTCACACTTTTTACTTTGTTCACGGCTTTTCAGTTCCAGTTCACTCTTCCTTTCAAAGTTTCCAGGTCCATCAGTTTCTAGATGGTTTTCATATTTTTCTTTGCTCTGTCCCACTATCTTCTTTTTTCTGGCTTCTTCATACATCGCCTTTTGGTTATTTTCCCCAATTACGTGGATCTCAGAGCGTGCAATCCTCACTTCAAGCTCGGCCCGCTTCCTAAGCTGTCGTTCCCGCTCGGCCCGCGCACGCCTCCGATGGTACTCCTTAAGCTGCTCATAGGCCAAAACTTTCCGTTTTATGTTTTCCGCACGTAGGTGGAACTGCTGCTCACGCCTTTCACTTTGGGTAGCATCGGTCTCGCCTAGCACGTTCATAGATTTTTGAGACACGTGCCTGATCTTGCGCTTAGTATCCTGTTCAAGATTCTGCTTCAGTTCCTGCCCAACTTGCTGAATCATCTCAACGTCCTGAGAAGAAGGCGTAATAGGACGTCGCTGAGACAAGGCACGCTGTTCCTGCTCACTCTGCTTCTCTCGTTTTTTTAACAGCAAATAGCGTTCGTAGTCGCGTCGCTCCTTGACCTTCTTCTGCTGCTCCTGCAGCTGTCTATCGCGCAGTTGACGATCCTTTTCCAGCTTCTGGCGGTCCATCTTGTGCTTCTGGGCCAGAAGAGCCTTTTGCCGATCCCGTTCCCGGTCCCTAAGCTCCTTGTCGACGCGATCTCGTTCCCGCCGCTTTAGGATATCGTGCTGTTTTCGCTCACGCTCACAGAGATCTCTTTGGACCCGGGGCGAGAGTACTGAAACATTCATCTTAATGCCGATAGTCTTGCCACGATTTCTGGGATTAGATATTTTAGGTAGATGTTGAGGTTTAGGAGATTCGTCGGTTGAAAGCTCGGGACTCCATATGGTCTGCTCCTCGCGCCAATACTGATCTTCCAAATGATCCAAGTGCAGCATCCTTCTCCGCCATTCGAATGGAGTCGACTTGAGCCTCCTTCTCATCAAGCTACTGCTTGAAGGCTTTGGGGCAACCAATTGCGGCGGCGTGATGTGGCGCAACCGTTGGCGTCCCTCCTCGTCGAGGAGCATGTGCAGCTCGAGGCTGCAGTTTGCTAGGTTGGTGAAGGGAAGCGACAGTTGACCCGATTCCTGCAGTTGTCGCAACATCTGCTCCAAGAGGTAGTCCCTTGCACTGCTCTCCTCCTTGGTGGCCCGGCTGAATACGTACATCCACTTGGCACACAGGTCTAGATCCTTGGCACTCGCCTGACGAACCGTTAGGCCGCGAATAATCCTCATCTTCTGGCGGTAACCGCGCTCCATGGGATCTTCCAAAGAACTTTTCTTTTGACGATTCGAACCACTGTGGGTTTTAACGTTAGCCATTGAAACAATAAATCTTGTTCAAATCGTCTGTAGAAGACGAAAGTAACTATTTCATAAACTATATTTTTGAGTAGAGAGTTTTGCAACTCTTTTTGGATTGCTTGGATTTTTAATACAACAAAAACGAGAGAAAAGCATAATTAATCAAGCCTTTTAAAATCTTTCAATATCTAGGTATAAATATAATATTTTTTGTGACCTTCTTAATATGTAAATCCATTTTAATTTTTTATTATTTATATTATTATATAAATAGTTGAAAACATTAAAAATAATTAATTATTTTGAATATATTTATTAAACTTAACTTATACAACAAATTATCATTTAATCGCTTACAAAATGTGATTTTGCAATATTATGTCGTAAGCACTCCTATATTAATGATTAATTAATTTTTGAGGGAATCCTATCGTCACTCAACCCTAAATTACGCAAATCATCGTGACATTCTTCCAAATCGAAAAATGTTTTCAAATGCATCCACGAAAAATACAAAAATAATTTTATTTACAAAAATTCTCCAGCTTTACTTTAATTTAATTTCATAGCTCTACATGTTGTGCTCCAACGGACTTGGAAATGTGGGGTTACGCATGTAGTTTATATGTTTAATGGCCCTCAATGCGAATTGTTTTCTTCCCGTCTAGCCACGCCTACCCTAACACCCACAAAACCCGGAAAACCAAAAATGCAAAACTTTGAGGATCTATAAGAGCTAGGAAGTTGTGCTTAGGGTGCTAATACGTATTTTAGAGATGCCCCTGCAGCTCGACACGTGTTTACATCCGGCCACTCCCACTTTAACGCACACAAGCCGCGGAAAGCTGTGGCGTGAATAATATTATATTGAATGTCTTCGTTTGACCTTGTTCAACATATTTTTGTCAATATCTTTAGATTTAACAAAGATTTTTCAAATCGGAACATTATTTCGCAGTATATTAAGAAATGTAGGTTATCAGGCCTCAAATGGACAGTGACGTCACAATCAGTTAGTAAACATGCTTTTTTGACAAAAGGTGGCGCAAATAAATATTTTACAATTGTGTAATACAGTAACGGGTATCTTATAGTCGCGGCACTCGACTATAGCATTTCTTCTTTTTTTTAGTTAATATTTTCTTGGTTTTTTTCCAACTATAGGGTATTCTTTGAGTGTTGGGTTTGGGGAATCTTTGAAATTCACAGCTGAGATTTTGGTTATTGCTGTAAGCGTTGGGCTTTGCTAAATTGCTGAAGAATAAAAAAAATATTTGCAAGGTTGTTTAAGGTCGCTTATGTGCATATTATTCCAAACTTCAAACTCGTAGTGAATCTTATTCTCAGGTGAGCAAAGGACTAATGGATCACAGGTGAATGATTTGTACATTAAGAAATGTGTGGTTGGCCATTATATAAAATTGTATAATTACTTTTTACCTTTCTAGCGAGTTACCTTAATGGTTATCTCTGGACGATCCCCACAAACCATTTGTCAAGGCCAGCTCTCAGAGGCTGAGGACATCTCCGCTTCGTTTTCATATTATATTAACGGTCTGCTACTAAAAGATGGTTGATCTCATATGTTGGGATGCTTGTCCTTTGTACTCCATTTGTTCAGTGTTAGGTTTGTTACGATTTTTAATTTTAATGCTGTGGCTGCCAATAGTTTGGAATTGTCACAGTAAAGAAGAAGTAACCATCATGTTTAATTCTTTTTTGAGTACCTTTTATGGATTTAACCTCTCCGTAAGAAATGAGGACGACATGTTTTACCTCTTGCATGGTGGTTTGTGTTGATACGATTGGTGCAGCTAATTTTACTAATACATTCTTCACCCAGTGGAGATCCTCTGCTACTGTTTCATCTTCACTATTAATAAAGCAAGCCTTTCGGAACTTGTTACATCATTTTCTTAACCTTTATTCCTTTAATATCTTTTGTGTATTATTCTGTGTCTTGTTTGACTTTCTCTCAATTGCAATGATCCAATTCTTTTCGGAGCATTCTTAATCTTTTTCGTCTCTGCATCTTTTTGACCCTAATTTCATATTTTTTCTGCTGCAACTCACTTTCCAATTATTACTATATCCTCTTATCCTTATTTCTGTAATCTCCTTCGGTTTGTTTGCAAACTGAGTTTTCTCTTGTTCGATTTGGTGTTCTCTCTTTATTATCTGCTTTACCTGTTGTTGTCCTTGATCACTGTCCTTTTGCTCTCCATCCAGTATATAGCATGTTAAATACTCTTCTTCCTTTCGTTTCTCTTCAATTTTACGGAAAGACTCATCCTCAAGCTTTTTCATCTTTTAAAGAACAATATTTTTTTAATTCGTTCCTCATTTCGCTTAATTTTTCGCTATTGTACCTCTTTAGGTTTCATTTTGAGTTCTTCATTTGTTATACCGTTCGTAATTTTTCGCTACTTTTTATAAAACATTTTAGTTCCTTTAGTTCTTTCTTTTCACGTGATTTTATCAGCTTCTGATATTTTTTTTTAAATTCTTTTCGCTTAAGCTCTTTTCTTATCTGGTTTGCTTCAGACCTATGAGCTCCTGTTGTTGTTGTTTCTTTTTTCAAATACATTTTGATCTTTTCGTTCGTTTGTTTATTTCAAATACTTTTCCTTTAAACATCTTTTTGCTGGCGTTCCTTCGTACATTATTAAGGAATGTTGATTATAGCACGAGAGATTTCATTCCGTCGTCACTTAACATAAACTCTAAAGATTGCCTCCGACCAGCGTCAAAGCATTAATATTGCAATTCCTTTTAATTTTCTAAACTTTCCATTTTCATTTTTAATGCTTTCTGTTGCAGCCGATAAAGCTAGCTTTATCAAAACAGGACTGATATGCATATTTTTTCCACTGTAAATTTCCCTATAAATACTGAGGTGGTCTTTGCTAGTTTTACAGTTATAACTTGTTTATTGCAAAATGAGTTTAATTTTGATTATAACTGCTGCTTTGTTGGTAAATTTAAAATAGTTACTAATTACATTGCTTTACGTTAATTTCATTTCAGAGCTCTACATGTTGTGCTCCAACGGACTTAGAGACTTTACATTCGAATGAAGTAGACAGTACCACATCAATAATTGCAGACGACGAAAAATCAAATGATTCAGAAGGCTCCGAGAGTTCCCCTTCAATTAATTTAAATAATGAATATTGGATAACGACCACGCCTCTCCCTCCGATTGTCATTTTGCCACAGACTGATAAGGAGATACTGTGCAATTTTGTGGGTTCTTTTCAAAGAACTAGAATGGAATTGTTTGCAGTCGTTGTGGGTGCTAACTTTGAATTTATATTCAACGCAGAGAAATATTTTGCAGACGAATTTCGAGAAATAATGGCGAGTTCAGCCAATGTTACTTATAGCCAAGAGTTTTTCGGAATCGACGAAGATGAAGCACATATGATTATCCAGAACAAGACCGCTTTAGCGGCCATAGATAACATTGTTAAAGCACACATCCTCAAAATGTACAGTAAGATTTTTCAAGGAATGACGATCATCCACGACGAATTATTACTTAATGCCAAAAAGGTGAACATCAATTTAAGCAAAGAAACAGTGGAATCTGAGAAAGAAATGCTCGCATCTTTTAAGAATCTGAAATCACCACAGGATAACCCAAACTACCACAACGATTTGCCCGATCTTTTAAATCGCCTTGAACAAAGATTCAACCATAAGCATCAGTGTCCCAAAAAACAGTAACGACGCATACTTGTCTACATTAATTAGACATCATAATCGGTCAACTTTGCTTTCAATCAATAATCGGCCATTCTTAATAAATCCATAAAATATATATTATTTTTAAATGATATTTTATCATTATTATCTTGAAACAATAGACTAATAAATTGTTCATTTAATTGGATATACAAAAAGATAAAATAAACAAAACTTTAAAATATTTTAAACCATATTTTTACCAAACAAATACTTTTTCTTTTAGATTGGAATTACGATAACACCTTTGCAGTCTTAATCATTTTTTGAAGAATAGATTTTTTAATAGGCATCTCATGAGTAAACTAAAGTAAAAAAACCGTTAACCACAAATCGGTAGTTTCTGTTGGCTCTAAGCTTTCCCAATCCCCAAAACGATAGGTTTTGTTTAATGTTTTTTGTAAAAAAAAAAAAGAGGGAGGCCCTTTAAGACAATTTTGTTTTTTAAACTAGATGTTGTTTTATTCTCTTTTAAAAAACTGCTACGCATCTGAACGTACGTAATAATGCCCTTGTTGTTGTCCTTAAACCTCGTAACCGTAGGATTTGATGATTTTGTTGAAGGGCTCGGCGGCCTTGGCGATGTTCTCGCGCGCCTTGACCGTCAGCTTCTTCAGCTCGCGGTTGTGCTTGAGGGTGACGCGAAGCTTGGCCTTGCGCTTGCGCTCCAGGCTCTTGATCACGTCCTGGTAGTGCCAGCCGACCTCGTGCGACAGACGTCCAACCTGGCAGTATTTGCGGTCAGAGCGCAGGGTCAGTACTCGCATGGCGATAGGGACGACGACGCGGCGACGCTTGTCGTAGGGCGATGGGATGCCGTCGAAGACACGGAGACGGGCGAGGGCGGCCTGGCCACGCTTGGTCTTGTGTGGGATCATGCCTAAAATGAGAAGGACATGGCGTTAATCCAGGATACATAATATTGGCAAGAGGTTTGCTAGTTAAAGCCGTCAGTTGAGAGTTCGTTACACAGTTTCTCTTTCAAATAATGTAGGTAAGAATGTGATAATCATCATGGTAAATGGAGCTGAGCTTGCAGATTGCGACCAGTTTTATATGCTTACCTATAAGAGAAAAACGGTAGAATTAGCCAATGTTTTAAAAGAAATGGGGACTTAAGAAACAAGGTCCGATCAGTAATAGCTGCAGCAATCTCAGATACGTTTTGTTTACACGGTTTCTCGTTCAAATAATGTAGGTAATAAGGTTTAAAAACATCATGGAACTGCGCTCAACTGATCTTCTCCATGAATTCAAAAGCGGGTGTACTCACCTCGGACAGCCTTGTAGAAGATCCGGGAGGGAGCACGGAAGTGAAATGGACCACGGGCCGGGTTCACGTTGCACCGCTTGCGCAGGTAGGCCAGGAACTTGATCTTGTTCCTGTAGAAGTGTCCGGAGAGGTTCAGCTCCTCGCAGCGGACAACGGCGACCTTGCCGCCCTGCAACAGGTACTTGGCGACCACGGAGGCCAGGCGGCCGAGCAAATGGCCGCGACCATCAATAACAACGGTCTGCAAATAGAAGGGAAAATCAATTAAAATAAGAAAACAATTCGAGCATTTTGTGAGGTTAGGTTCTAAGGCTGAATAATAAACAAATGTGCAATGCGCCTTATTTTTCACTAGAACGTTGTTTTTTTGGAGGTTTCAATGAACTTCACGATTTGTTAGAGCTCGGATAACAGCTCACTCCAGGTTTTCTCTCATCCTCACTTCTGTGGCACGTGTAAGGCGCGACGCCTTTTCAAGCAGTCAATACAGCACTTCCATTTTCCTGCTCAGCAGATTTTACCACTCGCACTGTTGGCCACTATTATGAGCCTACTTGTCACACATTTGCTTAATGCCCGGCCCGTTTTAATATCGTTTTTCGGCACTTACCCTGTTCGTTAAACCAGTCATGTTTAAGAACCGCACGGAAAGAAGGCGGAAGTGGCGTTGACAGTTCGAGCATCGCTGCGCAGGGTTGCTATGGGAACCTGAACTAGTTCAAAGAAACGTTTCTGAGCTGCCACTTCCCGACCTTATCCAGTACACACTCCTAACTGGAGGTGCCAGCTTTCGATTTTATCACTTAATTTCATATTGTGTATTTCAAAATGATTGTAGTTCCGTTGACACCCCAAAGGCCATTACTTAATAAGCTAGTTATAAACAGATTTTTTTTTAAACGCCTTGACCCATGATAGGTTTCCGCGGTAAAGACTTTAAATATTCTCACAACTCTTTATTAAATAAATATAGTGCTGTAAAAATAGTATCAAAATCGACCATTTCGAACCTATTTGAAACCTTTTTAGAAGCGTATGATGGCTAAATGTAGAGAGTTTCATTTGGCGGGTTATTCATTATAAGAGAGGGGAGTGTGACCATTTGTTTTTAAATCCGCAATATGAACATATTTTGACAAGGCGATATAATGATTTATTAAAAAAAAAACACTATCACACTGGCAGAAAACGCTTTAAAAACTTTCAACCCGCTGAAAACGTTAAACGCAGTGATTAAGCGCTCCATACGCCGTAAATAAAAGCGAATTAAATGCTAATTAAATACAGCTTTACACGACGACTTTTATTCTTTTCGTTCGAGTGCAAGGCGCATGGTTGTCGGGTACAGAAAAGTGCTAAACCGAAGAGACTGAAAAAGTTCTGAAAAGTGAGTGGGTGGTGTTTTCTTCCCCTTCGAAGCGAATCCAATTAATAAACAAATCGACAAAGCAACAATAGTTTTCTACACGTGATCCGAGAGCAGGAAAAGTCGTCACCTTATAAGGCAAGTCTCGAGTTGCATGCGGCACCCATGAAATCGTATGTGCGTGCGTTCTAAATTAGATGCCCGATGTTCTGCTATTAATTAGAAATAAGTTCCTGTCTTGGGGCAAGTTGTTCGCTCCATTCCTTTCTCGCCAATTTCGAAATTGGGTCAACGTGTGCGATGCTACATTCGCCGTCTGCGTTTATATTTCTGCTTTTTTTTTTGGCTGCTGCTGCCGAACCAGTTTGTTGACCTTGTTTTTCAGTTTTCCAAGTGCAATTGGGGCTTGACTTTTGACAATATGTGTATGTCCGACTTTCCTCTTTTATGAGGATCGGGATCTATGAACTGGGAATTATGATCGGCGGACATGCATTGCATTTACAGCTCTGTTTTGTGTGGAAATTCATATTTTTATCACCACCTAGCAACACAAAGCACACACACACGCATTAACACTCCTTCTTGGGGACATTTCCGTTTTTTCAACAACAAAGGCTTTCAGTGGATGTGGGTGTGTTTGTGTGCGTGAGATGGATAGAGGTGCAGTTATATAAATATATATTGATTAAATTAACTGTTATTTATTCCGCCAATAGTAGTGGCGTTCCATGTAAACAAAAAACAGCTGTTTTAGAGCCTTAGAAGGCATAGTGTTGGTAAATGCCACGCCTTTAGATCGCACATTTTTTGCTTAGAACTAAGAATAAACAATTCACAAATATTTGTACTTTATTAAAACAGTTTTTATATTACCTTTAAACTAAGGAACCTTATAACACCATCTTGGCAATAAGATTTAAGCCAATGGTCAGATAACTTTATCTCTCAAAACTGTGAGTACAAGATCTACTGATTGCAATTATTCATTTAATTTATAACAAACGAAAGATTGCAAAATATGTTTTCTAACAGTGTATTCATATATTTGTTAAAAAGATTGTGCAAATAACTTTTTTAATAAAATGCAATTAGAAAAAAAACTTTTTGAATAGTGAAAGTAATTAACTGCAGATAAAGAATGTACAAGAGTTAAGGTGGATTATTAATTATTAAATTATAATTATAAATACACTAAAACAAAAAAAATAAAGTAAAAAGTGAATCAAAAAAGTTTTATAGATTAAAAGTAAGTACCAAGAAACTAATGTTTTCCCTACGTCAACTTCACGGATTTTCTATTCCAGATGCCCGACTTTTATGAACTTTTGAATGTGTCATCTACGGCCAGTTTCGAAGAGATTAAATGCAGCTACAAACAATTGATACTACAATGTCATCCCGACAAATTACGGCATCTCGATGACCCAGATCAGGGTTCGGATGCCAAGAACAGCGACTTCAATGCGATAAACGCGGCATGGAATACGCTAAAAGATCCCATTAAGCGAAAGCACTACGATGCCGAATTGCTGCAGTCGAAATTCCGGGCCCACAGCAACATCTACGCCACTGTAGAGTTGGATGAAATGCAGCTCATTCAAGTGGAAATCGAGGAAGATGACGAGGCACCAATACCTCCCTACCGAGATTCTGAATCCGCATCCGAGGCAAACAAAGGGCCAGCGACAATGTGGAGCTATGCGTACGACTGCCGATGTGGCGGTCAGTATCTGTTCGATGGACCCGGAGACGATGAGTCACCCGAAGTGATTGTGGAGTGCAACGAGTGCTCCTTAGTGATTATTGTGAAACATACCATAACTTGTAAATAAAGAAATAATGGAAGTGCTGTCCAGCACAATGCTTGTGATCTAAACTATTTGATTAAGAGCCCTGTTAAAATTAACTTTTACACTCCGTTTATTGGTTTCTTGAACCCCGTGCCGGCGCGGACTCTCTTCATATGCAAAGCATGTTGTCATTGACGTCGTGCATTCGACATTCAACATACACAACATTCAACCGGGCCCAGCCCCTTCTTTGTCGCTTGTTGTGCCCAAAAGTGATGTAACGTGATGGCACATCATTTCGATTTGGGTTCCCGCTCCTCATTCACTTTGCATACGATTCGTTTCCGCTGTGCGGGGAGAAATTACCAAAGTCTTGATGTCTTTGACGCGTGTGAATTGTCGGAGGTTTGCCAAATTACGAGTACTTTGCTGTTTATTTATTTGGGAGAGTTTTTGGGTCAAGTTTTTGATGGTCTTAGACAGCCTTAATGGCTCGATAATCCTCGGTTATAACAGGACATAGATGAATTTCTCTCTTTTAAATGGGGATGTGATATATAAATATCCCTAACAATTTTCTTTTGGTATACTTCTAACATACAGATCTATATTAGTATACATACATTATACATTACATACATACATACATTATTATATTGTTTGAATTTAATTAACTAGTGTACAAATTTTCATATACACATATATGATTCTAAAAGTATATACTAATCATAGGTCTATATAATATTTCAAAAAAAAGATAACATACGTATTACCATTGCTAAATCAATTTTTAACCTCTGCGTTTGTCGCAATTATTTTTAGTTACATTTGTTTAATCAAATACCAAAAAACAAAAAATTCCATTAGTGTTGGAAATGAAATTCTCTTTTTTGACATTATATGTGGTCGTTACCTATTCATTCGCCATGTATATGACTGTTTTTTAAGCTCCTTAAATGTACTTATAATTACCCGAGTTCGCCCAGTTTTCGTTTTTTTTTAAATTCAATAACCCCTCTTGATCGGAGCAACGTCGACAATGACGACGGTGATGATGATGTCAGCAACTGCAAAATGTTTATAAACGACTTCGAGAAGACGAAAAAATCGAGTACACATTGGGAATCCATTTGATTATAATTATTGAAAGTAATTTGCGGTAGACAAGGCAAGTACGCACACCCAGTCTGTGTGTTATTTTTATCAATCCCCCTTGGGAAACTCTTTTGCCGCCGGATAAGTACGTCACTCGATTGATAATTAATGGTTGTCTAGCTTTCGTTTTCTAAACATGCACATCGTACATATAGTATATAGTATGTGTGTATCTGCTTGTTTGCGCATAAATGTTATTTGCATATACCGACAGACAAGCTTGATAAACACTTGATTTCCAGCCCCAGTTTGAGTTAAATGAGAAAACAAAAGTCCGAGGAAAACGTCTGTTCCTTTCGAATACATACTGTTACATTTGTGGGAACTAAGCACTGCAAGAAATCAGATGTTTCATTAAAACTGATTGTTTAATTCCGTTTCACTTTTATATTTATATATATATATATATATATATATACATATGTATATATATTTTTAGTTTAATCTGTTAAGCTAACAACAGTAGGTTGATTCATTGATCCTTAGGTCTTAAAACGTTTTTTATTGGTCTTCTTAATGCTAAGATATTATTAAAAGTATGGATAGTAATGTTTTTCTCGGTGCAGGCATTTCACTGGTTTGTTCCTCAGTCTATTCATATCTCTTGGGCATCTCTCACTTTAATAACCTTTTGACACAGAAAATTGAAACGCTTTAGCGCATTTGCCGCTTGTCATTCGTTCATTCCTTCATTCATTCCCTCATTCTGTCAATTACCCCGGCTTTTACGTTTTTTTTTTTTTTTTTTGTTGTCAAAGCTACACAGAAAAAATATATGAAGGAATATTTATTTATACGCTTATAATTTTATTTTTTTGAAAAGAATTACAAAGTATTTACATTTCTTTTAATTTTTAAAACAAAAGCTTGGGCATTCACAAGATTTGCTATAGTTTTGCTCCCATTAAAGTGGATTTACATTTCTTTTTTTTTTTTAATTTGATTTCCAATTTTCCTCGGTGTAATATTTTTGTTGTTGTGTGACACGCGTCGCAGCGCGATTTGAGATAATAACGCTAACGTTCGCTCTCGGAAAGTGCAGATATGTTGGCTACAATAAGCCGGCTTGGAGTTCCAGCCCCAAGTCGTCAACCGTCGCCATCTCCATGTTCCGACTCCACTTCTGGCCCTGCCGCCTGGCACTTTCATTTTGTTTTCACTGCGCATTAAAGTCGCTTGAGCAGCTTTAATTGCCCAATGGCAAGAAGAGGCGAAATACTGCACAACACGCGTAGAAAGCCCAAGAAGTTGCCAAGAAGCCGGGCCAACGGCGGAAATTGGGCGGAAATATCTATGTACATATGTATGTAGCTCCGAGCTTATTTCGTGCAAGAATAAAACAAAGTTTGAAACCGATACCGCTACTGAACTAGCAAAGATATAAACACAGTAATGTTGAGAATGTCGCACATTCTTAAAATAATAAAAAAAGTTTTTACTATTTTAAAAAACAAAAGTTTTTTTCATACAAAAACTAAAAAATAAGGCAATTCTGACGCACAAACTTATATTGTGCAAGCACCTTAATGGTAATTAGCTCTAAACTACGACTTTTAAATACATATTTTTTTCTTAATACTAGTATAAATATATTAACAAAAGCATATTTATAAGTTTTCGAGGCTGGGGGCACCCAAAAATTACGATTAACGGGGATTATAAACTATAGCGCCACGAACAACTATTAAGCAAAGGAAAATAGTCTTTAAATATTTTAAGGATGGGAAAACCCAGGAAATGGTTGCCTCAAAACCCTAGCACAGTCCAATTCATAATCCAAAGGTTTTTTTTCGCGAAAATCGGGTGGCAGATAAGGGTCGTGATCCACCGAGCAAAATTTTTAATGACCACGAGAAGAGACGTATTGTCCGAAAAACGAAGGAAAATCCCAAGCTATCGGCTCCAAAAATAGTTGCGGAGATTGATAACGAAATTGGCAAAAAATATTGCCCAGAGTTCGGAGAACTTTGCATAACCATAACTTTAATGGTCGAGTTTCTAGAAATAAGTCCTTCATTAGCGCTAAAAATAAGTTGGCGTCAAATTCGCCAGGGAAATTTAAACTCGTCCGATCTCGTTCTGGAACGACGTTATATTTGTGGACGAATCCAAATATAATATATTTGGGTCCCATGGGAACTATGTATGTTTGGCGGCGTCCAAATACAGAGCTAGATACAAAAAACAAAAACGCAGCGGCTAAGCACGGCGGTGGTCATGCTATGGTTTTGCCTGTATGACTGCGTCCGGCGTCGGAAATTTGCTTTTTTTTGACGGAATCATGGATGCCAATAAATATTTAACTATTTTGAAAGAAAATTTGGTGCAAAGTACAGAAACTTTGGCAATAAAGGATAGATTGCGATTCTACCAAAATAATGACCCCAAGCCCACTGCTGGCAATGTAAAGCTTTAGCTGGTTACAGTCTCCGACATAAAAGTGATAGAATATTTGCGGGAAATTTTACTTATGTCTATTCGGGAAAGGCAAATTTCCAACAAAAATGAACTAAAAATTGCCTTATTGGAAGAATTGAGAATTAAGAAATTTACAGTAGTTTTTACAGCTTGCACGAAGTAAGCTTGTGCGTCAGATTTGCCTTATTTTTTAGTTGTTGTATGAAAAATTCTTTTGTTTTTTAAATTAATAAAATTTTATTTTAATAATATGCAATATTCCTAACATTACTGCGTTCTGTTTTTTTGATATCTCTGCTAGTTTAGTAGCGGTGTCAAATTTAAACTTTGATTTATTCTTGCACGAAATAAGCTTGGAGCCACCGTACATATGTTAACTATCACATAAAATCTTATTCAGTTAAAAAAGGGATCAAATTCATATAACTGCAGCAACCAGTCCAACCAGTGAGTTATTTTTAAAATATCATTAATCGCTTTTTGATTTATTTTTGAAGAATTGTGTAAGAATGTGAAATTTAAGGCCAACAGGAAAATTCAATTGAAAGTTGTATTGAAATTTTTCAAAATTAAGTTTATAAATAGCCAAAATCACTGGCAAGCATTCATTTAACTGCTGGCATTTGGAATTTAAATTTGATTTGGCATCTTCAGATAAATTGCAGAAGTTTAAAAAAGTTTTTTAAAAACATACTTAAATAACGTCTGCCTATTTTTACATTTATATATTACATATGTAGGTGAGAAGAAAAAACTTGAAGGTGAGAAAAAAATACTACAAATTTGACCTCAGGGATTCATTATTTTTAACCTAATCATATTCGTTGATTGGTCAATAACAGTTGTTTGCTCTTTTATTTAATAAATATGTTTTTCGCAAAACAGCTGATCGATACAAAAAGTAATACCTACAAACATATATAAGGTGATTCGCCGATTTACGGTATTTATTCAGATGAGTTTGATATATCTTTTTGAGGGGAACGAGTCCAGACAGAAAAGGCAACAGCTAAGATATTCCCCAGAACTAGTTGTGGCTTCGAACCACGAAGATCGGGGAGTGATAGCTTCGACAACCCGTCTTCTTTCTTGTGCTTTCGTCAGATATTTTTGTGTTTTTCTCTCAATCTTAATTATACAAAAGTGCCAATTAATTGTTGATTTTGTGTAGCTTTTTTGCTATATTAGTTTCGCAATTTTGTGGCTTCCCAGGCAACGCCTCTGGCCGTATAGTTCTGTTGTTCCGTGGATGCTTTTCCAAGGTGTCCGAATCTGAATCTCTGCTAGCGAGTGTGTAGCCGAGTGAAAAGCACGGTAACAAGTGGGGCAGCAAGTAGAGCATACAGACATCAACCAGATTCGAATACTCCACCTACCCTAGTCCCAGATATATTCCAGTAGAATTTATAGCACATCTATGTACGTCACTGACTTTCTGGAGCAGAGTAACTGTTTGGTTGTAAAGTACCATTTAGTAATTAGAGTGGTGTTAAATATATAGTCAAGCATATCATTGTTAAGTCCTCATGACCCTACAATGTAATGCAAAGTATTAAAAATATAAAGGTTTTATATTCTGTTTACATAAATAAATGTATCATTCATTTGATAAACCTAACAGAAGCTTATTTTATTTTGTCGTTTCAGTAGCCGAGGTGCGTAGCCCACGCCCCACAGAGTCGTCAACCTGGCTGGGAGCAGCAGCCTCACGATTGATCACCAACAACACCAAAAGACTGAAACACCGTCCAGCCAGCGAGCAAAGGGGAAGATGGCCAGCACCGGCGAGATCTGGCTGCAGTGGTTCTCTTGCTGCTTCCAGCAGCAGCGCTCACCCTCCCGCCGTCCACACCAACGCCTGCGCATCGACCGGTCCATGATCGGCAATCCCACCAACTTCGTCCACACGGGACACATTGGATCAGCGGACGTGGAGCTGTCGGCCAACCGCCTCAACGCGATCTCAACCCAGATGCAGAGCAAGGGCGGCTACGAGACCAACTCGATACACTCGCTGCATGTGAGTTGACTTAACTGGCCGATTGGTCACCTTAACAGTATGGTTCCGATAAGGCGATCCTTAAAAAGAATTTCAAAAATTTAAACGACAATGTATTTTATCTACTTTTAAAAAAAAAACCTTTCATCAAGAGCTTAAACTCTTCGCATTCCTTTTAGTTAGGTAATACTGTATGGCGGTTTGTTGAGTCATTTGTTTTGCTTGATTCCCCGCTTTGCTGCCTTCTTAATGTGCAAATCACGTCGTGATTCGATTGTCGCAATCCAAGAACCTTTTGGACATTTAGCACCTACATAGATAATAGATCTTAAATTTTTTATTTTTTTTTAAATATTCACTGGAATCTGTTCAGTGCCTTCTGAACTTAACCTAGCGTATTTAACGGGAAACAAATTTTATGGGTACATGGTATCCTTAAATACTAAGTAACACTTATTATAAGTTGCAAAATTACAAGACTAGTGAGAACATATTATGAGATCATACGACTCGGGAGATCGGATGGATGTACCTTCTTCAGCCGTCGAAGAGAAATTGGCTCGGCTAGGCCACTCGCCAGTCAGTTTGGGTGTGCCACGATCCTGTCAGCGTAGCGACTGCTGTGCAGGTTAATTTGGTTCCCGATGAATAAGATTCGATAGTCCCTTTCGATGGCACAATTTGTAACGTATCAGGGGAGCCCACATGCTCTCCGGGCTGCACGTGATTGCACTACTCTAAGCCTCTCAGGTGATGCTTAGAGCCATGCCTCATACTTGAATGGCGTACGTCCAAGTAGGCGACAAGATGGCCTTAATTAGCAGGGCATTAGTTGAAAGGTGAAGTTTGTTTGAACGCAGGAGCCAGTCAAGCTTTTGTAGCTTCTGCAGACATTTGGCTTTGATTGCCGTGATGTCGGCCCGCAATACTAGAGCTCTCTCCAAATGTACTCCAAGGTAGCAGCAGGAGGTAACACTGGTGATGGCATCTCCGTTGAAGGTGAGACCCTCCGAAGTACCTTGACGACGGGCGAAGCTCATGCAGGCGGAGTTAGCGCAGTTGATTCCGATGTTCCAATTGATTGACCAATGATTCAAAACATGGAGCCAGACCTGAACTGCACTGGTTCAGTTTGCAGCGATGAGTGGGACGCTAGCATGCAGGTGTCGTTAGCATAAGTGGCCAGGAGTAGTTTCGCAGCGGAGACGTCATCAGTATTACTGCCGGGAGCCGGCATGTCGGTGGTGTATAGAGTGTACAGGAAGGGTCCAAGTACACTTCCCTGTGGAACCCCGCCATTAATCTCACATTCGCTGGATAGGGAGTCTCTTATTGCTACGTCAAAAGATCTTTCAGATATGAAGGATTTCAGAATGGGCGGAGCATTGCGTTAAAAATTTTTACTCGGAGGAAGGACTCGATTTTCAGTACCGTTCGCTCGATTTTCAATACCGTCATGTCCCGGGGGCTTTTTATGTTCTAGGGCCTTCAGTTGCGATATGACTTATAGACTAATAGATCTTAAGACGCAAGGTTCAGGGTAGAGGCTAAAAACGTCTTTTTTAATTCAGTTTTATTTTTATTGTACATACGAGTATATTTACATATGGAACATATGACCAGTTTTAGAGATATCAGCTTAAGTGCAAAGGACTATCCAGAAGGGGAAACCACAGAAATCGATTTATTTTATTTCATTTCTTCAAGTGAAACGAACAAAGGAAACCAGATTGCAAATTAATGGCTGCATTTCTTGATTAACAAAACACTAATATGGTGCAGCCATGGCATTTATTGTGGAATTTTACAAATTCAAAAGTTCAAACTGAACTCAAAACTAAATTATGAATTTTTAAATCGACTTATCTCGTTTAGCGAACTTAAATTACGAAAATATTCATATTAAAGAACAAATAAATATAATAATAAGCTTATATACATATAGCAGAATAAGGGTTTTGTTGTTAATTGAACCCAAAAATCCATTTATTAGGAGCTTAACCCAAATCCCAGTGCCAGTATTTCCCATCGAACGGCGTATAACGCTTTGGCCAAATTCAATTAATATACCCCATTTTTCCGCCCCCACAACAACAAGACGCATGTGCATGCCAAACGCTCGTTTTGTGGGACGTCGTTGGGTGATAACGGTGCCCCTCCCTAATCCTGACCCACCCCTGTCGCCCGATAGCCACATACGTATACATTATATATTTATATATAACTATACTTAATTGAGACAACGAAGCTGTTGAGCGGTGCACTGGCCACGGTCTAGTACATCGGTTAAATGGTTGACAAGCAATACTCTACTCATGTTTCTTTCGTTTTTCTCTCTTTATTTGCAGGCTTGCTGATGGAAGCCCCAATCATCTCGCAATATTCACGCTACAAAATGCATTTCGTGCAATTTTTACTGAAAGGAGAGGAGCAGCATAAATACTTTTTACAATTCTTTGTTGTGGCGTGTTATCAGGCGAAGATGGCCGACATAGGATGTCGGTGCACAATGCCGGAGTTCATGGGAAGGTGTGGATAACGGCACATTTACATAAGGTTCCAGTTTTAAAGCCAAACGACTTCGAGACAACGGATTCCATTCCGGCTAATATCCGCGTTCTCTAGTGTGCAGAGATTTTGGGCTGATTTGCTTTTTGTGAGTATTAGGTAAATGAAAAATCGCAAAAAGAGTGCCAAGCGACTAAAATCAACCAGTTATTAAGCCTAAAACAATATATGTATACAGAGTCAGTTATAACATTACGTATAATTTTTTGGATGTACTTAATGCCAAAAAATCTTGAGGGAACTACGAAGTTCAGTGTTCCTATCCATAATAATTTACATTTCCAAAGTCCATTTCACAGCACAAATAATGTTGATGTATTCGTACGAAAACTGCCTTATAATCAGTTGCACAACCAACAAAAAATAGTCTGACCCATGATATTTGGCTGAAAAGGTGCAACTAGCGAATCTTTTTATACAAAAGCTGATATTGCATTTACACAAAGTTAATACTTGTTGACGGAAAACTGTCGCACAATCATATTCAACACACAATGTAATCAAATTAAGAACCTTTACAAAATCCTCTCCATTCGAATATTTTTGAACCCCTTAATATGATTAGATCCCATGCAGACTGCATTATATGGTTTTTAGGCAAGCGATAATTTAAGCGTAGATTGACGAGTACCTTTGTAGAAGCCCACATCAAGAAACAAATACATATATATTTGTAAAATCAAATGCCTTTGTAAATAACAAGGAAAGGAGCTTAAACATGCGTTGGGTTTTAAGCATATAGACTAATTGTATAAACAAATATTTAAGCAATAATTTATGGAAATATATACATATATTTAAAAAGCAACAATCCGTAGTAATTCGTGTATTTTTTTGGCAAGCATCGTGGGCACTTAGGAAATTATCCCCGAGCATCACGGTTTAACGGAAGTGCGTTTAGCTACAAGATCTAATTGACCAAAAGAAATTTGACATCTATATAAATATTTTTTTTTAAATGCCATTAAATTTGCAAACAAAGATCAACAACCCTCAATCAGAAAGTAGGAATAAGATTTTAAACGTACGAATTGAATCTTGCAGTTACAATTCACTTTATAAAGCTTTTTGCTTCGATTTCAGTACCAAAACAATGGTAGGTATATCCTCAAATGTTAATGTCTTAAGCAATAGAGGACAATGTGGACAATTTAGTAAGTAAACATTGTAAATTTTTCTTTTATTGGAAATGGTTAAGGAAAACAAAGACTAGCCTAGTCGTCGTTGTCACTTCCCGATCCGCTACCACTGCCGGAGCCACTGCCGCTTCCGCTGCCACTACCCGACTTGCTGCTGCCGCCGCCGCTCTTTTGGCTGCCCTCGTTATCACTGCCTCCTGCACCGCTCTTGTCACTCTTTCCGCTCTTGGCACTGCCAGCTTCAGATTCGCTGTCGGAGTCGCGCAGAGCCTTGCTAGCCTTAGCCTTGTCCACCTTCTTGCTGCGACGCGCCTCGAAGTCTGAGCCCTCATCCTCATCCGAGGAATAGATCGTTGAAGCCTTCACCTCAGCCGGACCACCCCCGGAGCTTTTCTTGTACCGGTTCTTTATGGCACTCAAGCTAATGGCATTCTCATCATCGCTGCCATCGTCGTGTTGGTAGGATGAGGTGCCTCCTCCAAGTAGTGGTTCGCCGGCACCAGGTTTCTTTTTCTTAGGCTGGGCTTTGTGCTGATTGCGCATCGCCTGACGCAGCTTGGCCTCCTCTTCCTTGAGCTGCGAGTACCTATCTGTTGTGGGATCCTTGCCCACCTGCGTTAGGATCTTAATACCACTGGTCTTGCTGGATCGATCAGCCAACGACATAGTCATTTTCTTGTGTGTAAACGACTCCGTAGAATGGGGCCGGAAAGTGAGCTTAGTCCTAAACACCGACTGTCCTTGCAGACCCGTGCCCTGGCGGATGAACAGATGGTTATGGTCACCCAGTAGCGGCTGCCTGTAGGCGTCGAATATCTCGTTGCCCAAATGAAGGGACATGCTCCCGTCGGACCACCGCACGAATCGTGCATTTGACTCTCGTACCATGTCGCCCTTGTTATCCATGAATTCACGCCATCGGATCGTGTTGCTCACTTTAAGCTTAATACGCTGCCTTCCTTCCTCGTCCATAGTCTCCTCCTCGTCGATTTCATCTTCGTAAGTCTCCGGATCAAAAGGATGAGTGACAACTGACAAAAAATTAGGAAGCTTTATAAAGTGTTGCTCTTTTCCAAGGTCTGCAGAGATGCGTGGAATCTCTACATCGATTCGGGTTTCTGGCAGTGGTTCTGGTTCATCCTCCTTGGGCGCCTGCTCTACCTGGGACTCGACTCTATCTCGGGACCTCGATCTAGAGCGTGAACGCGAGCGGGTCATGGAACGACTGCGAGATCGAGACCGGCTCCTGCTGCGACTCTTGGACCGTGCTGGAGATTTGTTGATGGCTGCTCCAGCCTCCTCATCGTCGTCACTTATATCATCAGCATCTCCAAAGATGTCAGCTGCGGCAGGGGCTTTCTTTGCCTGTAATGTTAAGATAGAGAGTTATTTATCATAAACAACTTAATTAAATAATAAGTTAAAAAAAAAAAAAATTCCGGATGGTCTCACCTCCTCCTGATCGGACTCGCTATCTGAGTCAATCAGCCGAGATTTCTTAGCCTTGGTATGAGCTTTATCCATGTCACTATCGCTGCCACTCTTGTTTTTCTCTTGATCGGAGCAACTTGCTTTACGTGCCTTCTTTTTCGGCACACCAATATCGCTTCCGGAGCCAGATCCACTGCGGCTGCGACTTCTGTTCGGCGAAGGAGTTCCTGTCTTAGAACGCGACCGAGAGGTCCGACTGCCACTCCTGCTCCTACTTCGGCTGCGGCTACCGCTTTTGGAATTGGCACGTTCATCATCTATTTGCAGGTTGGGTGAATTGGAGCGTGATTCCTCGTTACCACTACCTCTGCGAGTGTCACTACGGGAACGGGAACGAGACCTAGCACTTTGCGCCGATCCAGATTTGCGACTGCGAACAGACCCAGATCTCTGGCTGTGGGGCGATCCTGACCTTCGACTTTGGGGAGAGCCGGATCTGCGGCTTTGTGCAGACTCCGACTTACGACTACGAGCGGAGCCGGATCTGCGGCTATGGGGAGATTCTGACCTCCGGCTTTGAGGAGAGCCAGACCTGCGACTTTGCGGGGATCCTGACTTGTGGCTTTGAACAGAACCTGACCTGTGGCTTTGGGGAGATCCTGGGGACACAGATTTTCGACTTCGGACGGATCCTGATCTTTTACTATGTGCAGAACCCGAGCGCCGGCTTTGAGCAGATCCGGACCTGGCCGTACGTGGAGAGCGTGATCCTGAACGAGATCTAGAAGATCTGGATCCCGAGTGGGAACGATCGCTGCCACTGCCTGACTTTCGGCTGCGGGGAGACCTAAAAAGCATCAGCCATTTAATCAGCAAACTTTATACGCTACTTAAAACGCAAATTATTAGATACCCGGGAGCACTGCCTCCTTGTGGTGTGACGCTGCGGCTTCCGCTGCGACTGGAACCAGATGAACCTGCGCAAATAGTGTAAGTACCAGAATTTCTGGTCAGTAAAGCCAAACGGAACTTACCACTTTCATCGTCCGAGATTTGGTCACCCATATTCCCAAGTAATCTTAGTTATTATTGTGGAAAATTGCAAATTCGAGGTCGGCTAATAAAGCAGAGTTTGGGAAACCTACACACTATCAGTCTAATCGATAGTTGAAACCCTCAAGGAGGACTTTACATGGACAAAAGAAATGGCAGCCCGATTACCACCTTAGACTATCGATCAAATGTAAACAACTATTATGTTAACTATCAAAATAAAAATACTTTAACTTTAATGCGATAAAATTCAGTAAGGCCTGAAAAATACAGTTATTAATAGTCATCTCACTCACAAAGGCCACGCACAGCTCTTTTCAGATGTGTCAACTATCGATAGCAACGTTGCATCGATTACAAATTTTTACATCCCTAATTCCTGTGTGTTTGTATTCGTGACAGCCACAAAGTTTTTTTGCGGAACATTTTTTGTGTACAATTTAAAGCCATTTCGGGCGCTAAATAATTGTTTACTGCCCCTCGATAGTGGATCGTAAAATCCCGGCTCCACCAACTTCGAGTGCATTTGCGGGTCGGTGGCGTAAAAGACGCTTAAATCCAGCAGAGAATTTGCCCGATTCGCTGCTTTGAGTGAAATTTCAATGAACTGAGAAAACAAAGACAGACACACTCAAACACTCACACAGGGTCACAGACACAGTGCTTGTGCAGCAGTGAAGAAAGAAGCAGACAACAGCGCAATAGCGAGCAATTATTTACTTACAAATAAAATAAAAAAGGAAAAACACTACCAAAAACCCTACCAAGAGCCATTGGCCAATCTACCCGAGTGTAACGTGCGTGACATTTGCATAAGCGCGAAATTAAAGTGGAAGCAAAAGCGGCGTAGAAAAAACGGAACATTTTAGCCTCCGCCAGGCATCAACATCCTTTGGTACTCCCTCTCTCCGACTCTCTCTCTCTCTCTCTCTCTGACACGAAAACCACGCTGCATACAGACGAAGCATATATGTACACACTCACAGCGATATATATGCCATTTATTTAGGGACGACACGGCGCGGAAAAGTACTAACTAATCTCGCTCCCGCTACGGTTCCAGTTCCCGTTGCATCCTTCCACACAGACATCTAGCCAACCTTCCAGCGAGTGAGAGCAACAGAGCGAACTAACTACAGCTAACCAACGGCTGCCCAGTGGGAATTAGCAAATATCCTTGCTGATTCGCCTATCCACCACAGTTACGGCGCTAGGACAACGGCTACCACGTCCTCGTCCCGCCGGCCGCTTTGGAATGTTAAATGCGGTGAGAACGATCCGATCAGTGTATGTTGTTGTTGCTGGACAGAGTGGAAAGCGAGCGTTAACAGTGGAAGTGCAAGAAGCGGACGTAGTATCGTCTAACGTTAATTTAGGTAAGTTGCTCAGCTCCCGCTCTTTTCGATTCCATGTTGATTCCGCAGTGGCGGCAGTCCAAGGTTACAATGGTTTACTTGTCCCGAAAGTTTCCGCTAGCCCGTGTTTTTGTTGTAAGCGCGGACGTCAGTGTTGCAAAGCGGCGTTTGGTCAGCTGATAAAGTTACATGCGCAGGCAGGTAAAGCGATAATCGGCCAAATAAATCGCTGGCTTTTAACCCTATGGCTAAAATAGTAACCATTACCGATGAAGTACTTCAATTCCGTGATACTAGGGTACTGGAGCAGGGGAAAGAGGTAATAAAATCCTGCGCAAATAGGGGCTTGTAAGTGTGAGGAGGTCTGGACTACAGTAGACTTGCGATAAGATAAACCGTTTGACACAAGATAAATAATCAATTAGAAACCAATAATAACAACTGAATATTTTTCTTTTACATTACATTTACATTGAGGCATTTTTAAATTGAAAATGTGACTATATTGAAAGAACAAAATTATAAGGTATATATTATTTATGTCAAGTTCTCCTGGATTAAAGAGATAATAAATACGGGGAGTTCAACTTTCAGAACTGTAATACAATTATCCCAAAACTGCTGGGAGTATCTACTGTACACCTCTTTGCACTTTGCTGCACTGCTTCACCACTACCTGCATAATTGATCGTGCGACAAGTGCAAGCGAATCCTTTTGCACTCGCCCCGTCCCTTTCCCTCTCCTGCTTAATAGCATCCTGCTGCCAGTCATTCTGGTTTTCTCACCCACACCACTGTCATTGGCTTCGTATACATCTTATCCACACGACCTATGCATGTGTGCCCACGCCAAAGAAGAATGGCAATAATTGCCGTAGCCTTTCTTCCTCGATTTCTACTCCTTGTCCACTTTATATCACCCTCTTGCTTCTTTCGCTTTGTTTGCTGTCTGAATTCGCCAATCGACAGCTGATGCGTCGGCCATTTAACGGAGTCGAATGGCGAGACCGCTTTTGTTTATATGTGAATGTTGGTAACCCTTTTTTGCATCCCCTACAAAACAGAGTTGCGAAAGTGAAACTGGGCTACCTATATCTAAGACTGTGAACTACCATGCTTGTCCGGGGCCCAAAGCTTTTCACCCACAAGTTTGTTTGTTTATTTGTTTAACACGCATATGCTCGGATTTAGTGTGCGACAATTATCTCCGGGGAGCCGATTTGTTATCACTATAGTCCTCTTCACTGAGTCACTTAGAATAAAATCGTTTGTTTATGGACGGAGAATTTTCCGGATTCCACCATCGGACAGGTTTTGATTACTACGCAGATGGCCCTCGGTAAAGAAATGCCGTTGTTTTGAGATAGCATCAAGTTCCAGAATCCGGAATCATCCAGAAAATAATTAGGAAATTTGTAAAATTGTCTTCCAGCTCTGTTCTTTAAATTATTTGCATTTTAGTTGAGCTTAATTACTCAACTAAATAATTTGATACATCTATTTTATTTAATTTTTTTTTTTTTTTTGTTGTTCTTAATTTGTTGATTATTTAGTGAGTAACAGTAATAAGAAAACATAAAACCTAACCATATTTAGCCGTCAGAAAATCTTTCTGAAAAGTTTTTTCATAAACGAATTTTGGAGCCCTTTTTTTTCAAGCGCGACCATGTTATGCTATATTTTGTTGTTATGGGTGTTTGTTGGTGTTATTCATACGTCGATAAGAATGTCCATTGGTCTGAAGAAAGCAAAGCCACAGCCTAATAAACGTCACCCCTTCCTTTGCAGATTATGGCGAATTTAAATTTTCAACAACCCCCAAGAAGTATAGCGAACGCGGCGTTAGCTGGCAGGACGACGGGTGGATTCGGTGGTAGCTCCCTGGCTGGCCATGTGACGCCCACGTCGGGCATGTTCCAAACCGGTAAGCAGGTGTTAGCTAAGAGTTTTTTTCAAGCACGCCACTAATATTTGTGTGCCACAGACTTTGCTAACTCCTATCCAGGAGCGGCGAACTACGGACAGGCGCCGCAGCAGCAACAACAACAGCAGCAGCCGCAACTGTCGCCGAATCGGAATGCCCAGCTTTCAGTCGGCGGACCCGCCATCTCGAGCGGCAACCGGAACGCCAACCTCTTCGGCCAGCGGCAGTTTGTGGAGCGGCGTGCCATGCAGGGTTTGGGCAGTGGTCCCATGGTAAGAGGCACATAACAAAATTTTATCTTCTCCAACCCGAACTCCTAAAGGTCCATGTATTTTAAACTCGGAAAAAATGATATTGAAATTGTATTTAAACTCTTAAAACTTAGGAAATACCATTCATATCCAATTATATATTTATCCGATTTTTCATAAATTTTTACAAAATACAATTATAAAAATATCACTGATCAGAAGACAAAATCACATAATAATAATAAAAGAAGAAATAGTCATTTTTCAAAATTTTAAACAAGTTTTCTTCAAATCTATGAAACAATGGACATTTTAAAGAAGTAATTTTTTACTTTTACGTTTAACATCATTAAAAGCTTAAACTAAATAACAATTATGTTAGTACTGTAGATCTTAATAATTAAATATCCGAACTCCTCTATAAAGTCATTTTAAATGTACGTATGTCCACAAATTGCAGGGGCAGTGATAAAGACTTTGAAATACACATAGTTAATGTTCATTCTGAGCTACGATTAAGTTGGAGAAGTTGGGCTTTACCGTAATTTAATTTCTTTATAACTGACTAATTAAATTTCTATCCACAGTCAAACATGGGAAATTTCATGCAGACGGGTCGCGGCGGCTACGGAACGGGTGGAGGCGGTGGCGGTCCTTTGAATAACTTTCACGTGTTCGGCGGAGGTGGCGGGAGCGATGCCTCCACGCCAGCCCTGCTCGATCCCACGGAGTTCCCCTCGCTGACGAATGCGCGCGGCCAGAACGACCAGACACTGCCCCAATCGAATCCGCTCCAGCCGCCGGGCAGCAAACCCTATGGTAATTTCTTTACCTCTTGTGAGTTCAAATCAAAATCCACTTATTTTTATTTATTTCTGTTTACGATTACAATTAAGAACCTGTTGTGTGTGGTGTCTTGTGATTAGTTTGTCGGGTCCACTAAGTAATGCTATGCAGTATTTGTGACTAACATGGGGATAGGCCATATGGCGAACATTGGAACAGTTTTAACAAGCCTAACAAGTTTAAAAAAATAAATAAGATGTAAGCCTTAACTCATGATGATTACACATTGAATTAAATAATAAATCAGTTTGTTTTGGCATAAATAACATGTTGTACTGCAAAGGCGGCTCATTTTAAAATTGGGTAATCTGTCTTTTTTCGAGCGTCTTCGTTAATTAGATAATCAATTTGTAGTTTATGCGTTTTATATGCTTTTATACCATATTCCTTCGCTTCACTTATTTGCCCTGGCGACCTGGTCGCTTCTCTTTCCAATTTCAGTTGGCATGGTGAAACAACCGACGTCAGAGCAGTCGGAGTTCACAATGTCAAACGAGGACTTCCCTGCGTTACCGGGTACTCAGAACTCGGACGGCACAACGAACGCAGTGGGGAGTGGCGGCGGAGCAGGAGGCTCCGGTAGTGGCTCCACAGAGAATCACTTGGACGGTACGGAAAAGCCCATGAATTCAATAGTGGTCAGCGGATCTGCGAGCGGAAGCAGCGGCTCCAACGTCGGCGTTGTAGGCGGCAATGGTCTCGGTGCCGTGGGCAGTGGCCTTGGGGGCGTGGTAGTAGGCGGCGGCGGTGGAGCAGGTAGCTCAGGAGGCGGAGGAGTCGGAGGAGTCGGCGGCAATGCAGCCAGCGGAGTTGTCGGCGGGTCGCACGTGGGACTGGTAGGGAGCAACAGCGGCATTGGCGGCGTAAACAGTGTACCCAATAGCAATGCCATGATGGGCGTAGGTGGCGGCTTAGGCAGTGGAAGCGGCACGTCTGGCAGCGGAGCGGGCGGCGAGCATCTGAACGATAATTCCAGCAACGATAAACTTGTGAAGAGCGGCGTGCAAACTTCGCCAGATGGTGAGTGCCGGAATTTAATGTTTAAACCCAAGAGAGTATTTAAAGATTTTTTGATAACATAATTAAAAAACGAAAATGAAGCTGAGTTAGTAGTAGTATTTTAAGGAAATATATTTTTGCAATTGGGAATTTTTAAAACTAAAAACTGAAAATCTAAATATAATTGGAAAAGAAAATTTACTTACATCTATATTATATTAAATAGTTTATTTTTCTTGTAAATTTTCTATATAAAATAAAAATAATATTTTTATTTATAATAATAAATCCTTAATATTTATCCTTTTTCAATTTTTTAGGCAAAGTCACAAACATCCCAGCGACCATGGTGAACAACCAGTTCGGAATGGTTGGCCTGCTAACGTTCATTCGGGCTGCAGAAACGGATCCCAACTTAGTGACGCTCTCCTTGGGCACGGATCTCACGGGCTTAGGCCTGAATCTGAATTCGCAGGAGAGCTTGCATACAACATTCGCTGGTCCGTTCGTCGCACAGCCCTGCAGGTGAGGTTATTGGTTTTATATTTATTTATGGTTACTTGTCAAACATATATCAGTTATCAGTTAGCTTATACGAGAAGAATACTACTAAATAATATATGTTTTCGCAATTGAACATTGGAAATTGTTTCTTTTTCGTAGAGCACAAGACGTTGAGTTCAACGTGCCACCCGAATATCTGATTAACTTCGCGATAAGAGACAAACTTACTGCGCCGGTTCTGAAAAAGCTGCAAGAAGACCTGCTCTTTTTCCTATTCTACACGAACATTGGCGATATGATGCAATTAATGGCAGCAGCTGAGTTGTAAGTACTTCCGATACGATTTTAAAAATCGCATACTAAAACTTTAATTCTTATCGCAGGCATAGCCGCGAGTGGCGGTATCATGTGGAGGAGAAAATATGGATAACTCGAATTCCTGGCATTGATCAATATGAAAAAAATGGTACAAAAGAGCGCGGCACCTTTTACTACTTTGATGCGCAAAGTTGGAAACGTTTGTCCAAGGTTTTCCAAATAGATGCCGAGAAATTAGATAAATGTCCCAATATAAGTGCGTTTATGAATGGACAGTCTGTATAAAATTAATAAAAATGAAAAAAATTGAAAAAGAACATTTAATGCAGTTGTTTTTGTTTTGCACCACCCATAAAATTATCTTTTTATTAAAATAATAACAAATATTTGGTTTTTAAAAATACACCTTAGGCGACATTATACGTAGTCCGGAAGATAGATCTTAATCAAATGGTACAAATACATTTAGGTACATTCAATAAAGTAGTTCTTTAGTAACAATTTGAATATATGTTAGATTTAAAAAATAAAAAAACTGGATGAAGTTTCTAAAACTTGTTACGTGTGTTAGATATGAGTTAAATGGTTATTTGCATAAAACGGTTAGTACTTTGCATATCTAAAACTTTAATTTTTTGTAACTATTTCCTCAGAAGTACCATGGAAAAGGGTGTCTAATGAGTTGAATTTATTTTAAATTATCATTTAGAATGTCTAATTGTCTGCTTAGGTTGCCTAATTGTAAATTTTAAATAATATTTGTAAATATTTATATAAAAAAAACATTACGATTAAAAAAAAATAATATAAAATAAGATACTCATTCCTTTGAAGTATACCATATCTTAAAAGTATGTTTTTAATTCTTTTGGATATACACCTTTTCCAGGATAATTAAAAATGAATTAAAAACATAAATTAAATAATGTTTAACTTTACGATAAATTTTCGATAGATTTTTAGCATTAAGTGTCATAGAGAGCAGCTAACTGTCATTAGGTAGCGCCATCTGGTAAGATTTTGTATACAAAATTGTCTTTTGACCAATTATGCCAATATACGATTACCAATAGTTTAGGCAAATCTCTTGCAGAACTACCTTAATTTGATTATAAGTTATCAATTCTAGCTGCCGCACAACGCGAACAAATTATTTACTTAAATATACTTAAGGCTTAGAACATAGCTTTCTGTTTGATTTTAACATTTGTCAATAATATTTACCGCTTGCTTAACAGCAACGTTTTTGCGCTCTACAGCACCGGTAACTATGTTAACGCCAAAAGCGTTAGAACATTTTGAAGAGAAGCAGAAAGAAGAAGCAGAGATGCCTACAAAACTAGCGCCTGCGCTTCTGGAATTAATTTAAATTTATCGCTCCGGGAAAATAACTTCCAGCTCCACTTTAGTCCGATATGAATGCACCGGGCATGAGCCTTTTCCAAGGCGCGGACACACTTAACGTAAACTCCACTCTGGATCGACAGGAGGAGGAGGAAGCGCTGCAAGATGAAAAGAGACGCGGAGAAGAGGTAAGTTATCAGGACAATCCTGGCAAATAATGTCACCGATTCCATTTCTTCGAAAGATCGGGAATCTACTCCAGGGCGCCTTTTTAGATCTAGAAGATGACAACACGATCGATTCGACGACAAATTACCAGTCGGATGAGCATTTGGCTATTGCGCCCAATTACCAACCACTTCCGTCCCAGAATCCATTGACAGAGGATCCTCAGCAGGCGAAAGAGATCCATCGCCTCAAGATGATGCTAGACTCCAAGAGCCATGAACTGAAGAACATTAACCAAGTCGCCAATGCCGCACACAAGCAACTGGATGATTTTAAGAAACACCTCTCCATTACGCAGGCCGAGTTGGACCGTGCTTTGCGCGAAAAGCAGGATACACACGAACTTTTGGTGGAGGCAAAGGAGATTTGCTCCAACAAGGACAGCGATCTGGCGAAGCTACGCTCAGAGAAGAAGCAGTTGGAGGATGAAAACACTCGGCTTGTTGGCCAGCTGGAGATCACCAAGACTCTAGCATCGGACGCCAAGCGCCAGTATGACATGGTACAGGGGGATAAGCACAAGCGAGAAGAGCGCAGCGCTGAATTGCGTGTCAAGCAAATTGAGGATACCCATCGAGCTCAGTGTGATTTATTCCAACAGCAACTCAGCCAGTTAAAGGATCAGTTAAGTCGCAAGGAGAACGATCTGGAGCAGATGACCTATCGCTACAAAGCTTTACAGACCGCCCATGAAACCGTGCTTCTGGACAAGGCCACCAAGATTAACGAGCTAAATCAAGCTTTGGACGTGGCACAAAAGCGCTGCGACCAAATAAGCAACAAGCCCGACTTGCAGGAAGAAAATCACCGGCAAAAGCAGTGCATAAGTGATTTAAAAGAACGCATTGCCTCTCTGGAAAAAACAGTTAATTCGCTTAATGAACGTCTAACCGAAACCACAGCCGAGCTTGACCACATGGACACGCTTATTCAACAGCATCAAGCTGATGAATCGCCTACTGGAAGACTAAGTCAAGTTGGTGTGTCCCGCCTTGTCGGTAGCACACCGCTAAATCCTTTAGATAGGGTTAGCAACATTAAGAAAGAGCTTTATCGGGCACTGGCCAATCTAAAAAGCAAGCGCGAGGAGGTGCGGCGCCTAGAAAAGAATTTGGAAGAGCGCAACCAGGAACTGCGCGTGCTGCTGGATCAAGAGAACCAATCTTTGGTCCAACTAGAAACCCTAAAAGAAGGCAAAATGCGCCTCGAAAACAAAGTGAAATCCATGCAGCAGGAGCTGGAAGAGCAACAGTACAAGTCGCAGCAGGAGTCTAACCTGCAGGTACAATTAGATGCAGTTAAAAACGAAAGGGATTCACTGAAAGAAAACAGTCAGCACATCGAGGAAGAACTCAGGACTGCGAAGAAGGATCTGGAAGAACTAAGGCAAGAGCACAATAATCTTCAACAAAACTGCGAGCAACTCACGCAGGATAACCGCCAGTTACGGAGCAGAGCAACAGCAGACACTATGCGTTTGGACCTTGAACGTCACAAAATTCTTTTAAAAGATGCCAATAGCGAGGTGGAGCGGGTTAAGAAACTATACTCTGATATCGCCACAGACAAGGAGTCATTGGATTATGAACTAAGAAAACTAAGAGACTCAGACACGCTTAAGGAGTTGCAAGAACACCGGCAACGTTTGGCCACTGTCCAGCGAAATTTACAGCTGGCGGAGCTTAAATCCCAAGAGCTACAAAAGCTCCTGGAGTCAGAGAAACTCGACCACGAGCGTGATCTTCAGACCCTGCGCCAAAAGAGCGAGCGAGATAAGCGTGAAGGGGGCACTACAGCTGCCAAGGAAAACGCCAATAACTGCAGCAAGTGCATGGAGAACCTAGCAGAGATTACCAAGGTAAACAAGAATATCCACGTTTTATCTTATTACTAAAATAATAATCATGTTTTATCACTTGCAGTCGGAAATTCAGATGTTAAAGCTTCAAAACGTAAACTCTATGCAGGAAAAGGAGATCAAAAAATTGGAATATGAGCTGGAGCAGTCAAAGGAGTTACAGGCCGAGATGCAAGAAAAGATCGAGCTTTCAAACAAGCAGGACGATCTTATTAACGACCTTAAGGAGAAGGCGAAGCAATTTGAAATGTACATTAGACAACAGGAAGAATATCAAAAGCGTCAAAAGCAGGTTAAATCTACTCTTAGTCCAAAATCAAATTCAGATACGTCCCCAAGCCAGTCTCCAAAAGAGCTTACCCAGAAACGGATTAGGGTGATCGAACAACGGGTCCGCGATGAAATGGCCAAACTTTTTGCGACCGAAATCAAAAAGTTTAATTCCCGGGTACAACATAACGAAGAGCGATGCCAGTGCTTGCAAAGAGAATATAATGCAGTGTGTGTAGAGCTGCAACAACGGCAAACAGAGGTAGATCTTCTGAAGCAAACCATCCTGGCTGAACGCGAAAATATCGATGAAATTCTGTCCGGCAAAGAAGAACAACAGAAGGCAATGCTTCAGAAGTGCCGTCAGGAGTTGCAAGCTAAGAACCAGCGAATCGCCGAATTAATTCAGGAAGTAGAGGAGCAGCACTCCAGCATCGATTCTGAAAGGCAGTCTATGAAGGCTGTTATGGCACAGTGGGAGAAACAACGTCAATCCGTAGACCAGGTGGAGCAGCACTGGCGCCAGCAGCTGGACTCGTTGCGCACCACACACGAGGAGGCGATGCGATCTGCCCAGCAGCGTTACCAAAGTGCTAAGCGTACCGCGCACAACTACAAATTGTATGCCGAGGACAAAGAAGCACATATGAAACGCGAATATGAACGCATTAAGCATGAGTACGAGCTGTCGCTGGCCAAGATCGAAGCAACTATGAACCAGCGCCTGGAGCGGCGCAGTCGCGAAAGGAACCGTGGCAAGGAGAACGTGCCGAGCAATGGTAGCAGTAACGCGACGAACAATTCAAATAATAAATCCAAAAGCAATGGCCACATCAATAGCTAGGGGAAATAGGTCTATTTGTTTTATTAGTCAATTATCGTTATTGCCAAATTGTTCAATAATTATACGTTTCTATACATTCCAAAATATTTATTGTTTAATATGACTATATACACAAAACTTTTAAATGTTTCCCTATTAGAAAAACATATGAAATTATAAATGAAATGCTATAGTTCAAAGGTGCTTACATTAAAACCAAATCCTCCAAGTCGAACGATGTTTCGAATCACTTCACTATTTTAGGTTCCGTAATAGTTTTTATTTAGTTTTGAACCAATATTATACATAGTGTATTTGTTTAAATACATGCATTTTTTTTAAACGGATCATTATTTAGTCGGTTGACATTGAAAGATTAATTATTCTTTCGTTTATTGAGATTTATTTTGTTCCAGCACTTGCTAAATATATCAAAAAATTTGTCGATCTCCTCTCGAGATATTCCCAAGGCAGAGGCCACAGTTAGATATGGAACTTTCAAATCGCTACAGTGGGAGCCAAAATCTAAATGAGATGAACAATTAATTGATTTCAGTAACCAGTAAGGTACTTACCTAAAAATTCATGTCCATCAATGTATTTGGTTTGCCCAGGGATCACTACTCTTGCTCCCGAAACACCTCGCATGTGCAGCATAGATCCAAGCTGGGTGATGCCATCCTTCTGATCAGCAGCAATTGTACCAAGCGTTATTGCCAAAGATATGGAGTTGTACTTGCTATCTATCACAATTTCTCCGCGTCGTTCTGCAAATTTCTTAAGGTTTTCTCTGAGGTAATCAAAGTTATTTTTGCGATGCTGAATGAGGGATTGAAAGCCGATTCGACCAAGTGAAAGCAAAGTCATCAATACGTCCAGGGACTGCGATGCACTGGCTCTTCCCGCATAGGTGCTGGCCACATCGTGCAGCCGACTCTCATTAAAGCTAGCCACAATAGCACCACCCACTGGCACCAGAAGATTTTTGTCGCTACTTTGAACAAAGAAATCGATGCGCCCGACTTTATTAGACCGCTCTAACTGGCAAATAATGTCTTCCGCCTGCAGTCCGTAGGCATTATTGACCAGGTGAGGAATTTGCCACTTCTGTGACAGTTTAGATACCTCCACAATGTCATCACTGTTTCGGGGGGCAAAGCAACTGGTAGTGGTGTACAGGCAGAGGATGCTCTCTGCTCCCAATGACTCAACCTTCTCCTGAAATGCATTGATGTCGGTGTGCAGGGACTCTCCGATAACCTTACAAGGAATAATAACTGGTTCCAAGCCTGCCGCTGTGATGGCCTTAAAGCAGGACTTTTGGTCTATGCGGGACCAGAGCACATATTTCGATGCGGTTCGTTGCTTGCGAAGGGTCTGAAGGCACAGGGATATGGTCATTCCGGTGCACATCGGCACCAGAAAGCAAGCGGCACAACTTGGCAGTCCGATTCCCCGCAGAAGATCCAGTAGAAGAGCATTTGTGAGATGGCCGAGCAGAGTCGAACCAGCTGCTTTGGGTTGCGCCTCTAGTAAATCTCCAGAGCGCCCGATTCCGTGACCAAAGTTATAGTTCCTGCGGGCCACGAGATCTGTATAAAATAATATTAAATTAATAAGGATTTTGTGTAATTTATAATACTATTTTTATACCCGTTACTCGTAGAGTAAAAGGGTATACTAGATTCGTTGAAAAGTATTTAACAGATGGAAGCGTTTCTAACCCTCTAAAGTATATATATTCTTGATCAGTATCAATGGCGAAATCGATTAAGCCATGTCCGTCTGTCCGTATGAACGCCGAGATCTCAGGAACTATAAGAGATACAGAGTTGAGATTCTTGAGGTCCATACGCAGCGGACGTTTATTTCAGCATCTTGCCACGCCTACTATAACGTCTAAAAACCGCGGAAAACTGTGGCGTCCATAATATTATAGTGTATGTCTTCGTTTGACCTTGTATAACATATTTTTTTCAATATCTATCGATTTACCAAAGATTTTTCAAATCAGAACATTATTTCGTTATTTATGAAGAAATATGGGTTATAAGGACTCAAATGTGAAGTGACGTCACTATCAGTTACTCAACATGCTTTCTCCAACAATAGGTGGCGCTTTGAGAATTTCCACTAGCAAAATGAATATTTAAAAATTGTGTAAAACAGTAACGGGTTTCTTATAGTCGCGGCACTCGACTATAGCTTTCTTCTTGTTAAAATTGCATTGCATTTATCCCTTTGCAATAAGTCGACTCACTGCATGCAATTCGCGCCTCTCTTTCTCCGAGTCCGACCTTATGAGGAAAGTTATTGCTGTCCAATGATGCCAGCTGATTCACCAGCTCCTCAATCTGCCCATCGGGCCATCCCTTTTCCGGAAGCTTGCGCTGGAGAAGATCAATAAATTATAATGAAGTTATGTATGTAGTTCTAATATGCAAAATAACTTAAGGCTTCACGCCAAAGTGAAACAAGACAATGCGATAAATAACCTTCTTTTGAACTTTAGAAGGGATGAGATTAAAACCATACCCTTGCTGAACTTTAGTTTGTTTACCTTTTCGAGAAGCGCTTTAAAACTGCGCTGCTTTCCTCTTTGTGCCGCCACACCTAGCTTAAAATAATTTTCCGGCACTAGCTTTGCTGGTATATTTATATGATCGAAGTTCATTTCATTTAAGAGCTGAAAATTTAACGTAAACAAAGAAATATTCGTGTGCGCCAAAATGTTTCATTATAATCAAGTTTAATTGGCGTTGCCAGATTGTCGATAATCTATCTATATTATTTTACTTTATGAAGTTAGAATATTATTATTTATTTTTTCCTAAAAATTATACATTTTTTTTAGTACAAATAAAAATGGTTATTGATATGCATTAATTTTTATGTCCTATAAAACAAAGTTATAGCTATTACTAAAGATTATTTATTTGTCTCGTCTAAAAAATGGATAGGTCAAATGTTATTGACATCACGTTTTCTTTAGGTATTTTATTTGATATATCTGAAGTATAACTTAAGATTTGAGAGTCTTTCAAGAGATCAGGCTGAGCTAAATAATATTAATCTTAAATATTAGTTTAAATTTAAATTATATACGCAGTATTTTGAGAAGTGAGTGCGTTCATAATTATTTAATTTTAACGATTTGTTCCGTTATTTAGGGGAATTCACCAAAAAATGTTTAATTTGAAAAGAAAATACTCAGATATATAGAAAGTCATGGACAAGAAAAAAAAATAACACAAACGAAAATTATTAAATCATTGTCTTTTTACTTAACACTTAAAGTATTTAATAACTCTTGTCTCATAATACTTAACTTAACGGAAAACACGGTTAAACGCGGTTTTTGGGTTCTTAGCAGTGTGGCCAGTTAGTTGCTCCTCCAAAATGGAGTAATCGCAACCCTCACGAGAAAAAAACTTATTTTGTATATTGAAAGTCACAGTCACACTGCAAGTCGTCGACAAGAAACAGCCCAACAGCTACACAAAAGTTACTTCTATTCGCAGCAAAACAGATTTTTTTGTTTTAATCGTAAGTACCCAAGTGCACAACTATGGTAGTGTAGATGTAAGTTCAGATAAATCAAATGAACGATGCCCCAAGTATTGATAATATCGCCAACTACGATAAAGCCTTAGTCTGTCCCTTTGTTAGAAAAAAGAGGGTTATGTGTAAACTGCATGCGTATGTATGACGAGTTAGTCATCGGGCAGACATAAATTCGGGCAGTAAAGCATTTATTAGCCATCGGGTCTTTGTTCGACTGTACCTTGCACAATATTTAATAAAAGCGACTGAAATATGCACACTTTGGACCCCACAGTTTTTTTTTTTCGTAGTCTTCCGTTTTTTTTTTCGTTTCCCTCTTTACGTATTCGTCCCCTTTTCAATCGTTCGCCATGTCAATGTGTCGCTTCAAAATGGCGCCGAACCACATGTCTTCGTTATCGGCTCGTTCGCTTCGTTTTGTTCGGCCAACCGCTCGTGTGTCATTTCATTCGCTCTCCGAATTTCGTTTAACAAAGTGGTGCGCGCAGACAGGGCGCTGAATTTGAGGCAAACAACACATACCTAGTAACCGATTGTGATAGCTGTTAAAAATAGAATTCTGGACGTAGTCTGAATTCGACCCGAGCAAAATTGTTAACGTTGATATTAAAGGCAAAAAAAGTAAATTCCGTTACAAAAAATATATTCTTTGGCTTGCTCTCTCCTCTTTCGTTCGTTGTTGAGTGTGTGTGCGTGCGTGTCAATTTTACAGTGCAAAAGCTCGTAAGTAAGAAAGAAAAAAGAAGAGATCTGTCTTTTTATTTTTTGTCGACTCAACTCACTAGTATTAGTAAGCGCTGCGCGAGGTTAAATTAAATTACACATTCTTGAGCACGTTTATAAACGCTCGTCAGTTGTGAAAAAGCAACAGGCGCACACAGCACACGTACTCACACACTTACTCGACTTCGATTGCTGGCAAGGACACACGGAAGCCGCAAACACAGGGCCAGACTTATTTCCGTTGAGTGAAAGTGTAAGTTTCTGTTCCTTAAACTAGCCAAAGCGTACATATGTGAAAACATTGATATTTCCGTATATGCATTTTCGCTGTTTTGAGAATTTCACCAGCCTGGGAATACTAGCGCATTTATCCACACACGGGCTGAGATTGTATGTGTAGTATATGTACAATGACCTCGTTTTCTACCTAACAGAGTAACAACGTCAAAATTTCACTTTATTTTGCGTTTCTTTGTCGTTTTCTTGAGCGGGCGGTTCTCCTCGCCTCTCCTTTCATTTCATTTCTTTTTCGACAATTATCAAACTGTAAAAGATGAGTGAGTGTGTGTGCGGGAGAGCGAGAAGTGGAGTGTGCCCGTTCTTCGCTCGTAAATGTGTGTGTGTGTCAAAAGCACATGTATACGTTTTTAGGTTAAGGTTTTCCTTACACGAGCTGAGTTTTCATTTTATTTTTCCAAAACACCGGCTAGAGGTATTAAATATAGATAAAAAAAAAAAACTCATTAATTACATATGTATACACTCGCTATAATTTTTTATCTCTCATTAGCTTAACAATAGAAATAACCAGATCGTGAAAGTTGCCTTAGTCATCATTAAATATTGTTTCTCTCTACAGTAATATAAAATCCATCCCAGTGACCTTGCCAATTGAGTCTTTACAAACAAAACTTATAGGTGTAAACTAACAAAACATTTCTGATACATTTTTGCCTTTGCAGCAATTTATTGTATGAGTCAAAAAACTGAAAGACCAGTGCTATCGGGTCAACGCATCAAGACCAGAAAAAGAGATGAAAGAGAAAAATATGACCCAACGGGATTCCGTGATGCGGTCATTGCTGGTCTCGAAAAAACTGAAGGCGACCTGGAACAAATCTCTAAGTATCTAGACAGCGCGGGCAACAAGCTCGATTATCGTCGTTACGGTGAAGTTCTCTTCGATATATTGATTGCAGGTGGTCTATTAGGTGAGTCCTTATGATTACAATAGCCCCCTTTCAATTTCATAATTCTTGCTCCTTTATTTTTTGTTTCTTATTGCAGTGCCTGGCGGTTCCATATCTCAGGATGGCGAAAAGCCGCGCACAAACTACTGCATATTCGATGCTCCCGAGAGCATGGAGGCCATGCGCAACCATGAGCAGGTTCGTAACCATAATTAAAATTTTTTTTTAAACCAAATTTTTATTGTAAGTTGTGATAAAGCTCAAGATTTTCATATAATCCATTTATATCATCTTAATTTTAAATTGGTCAATTTATATATTCTAATAAGCTATGTGCTTGCATTTCATTAGAACTGATTATAAAGCTTAAAAATGTAATCGGTGTCAAGAATATGCAATACAAATTGACACATTCACTTGTCTTTGGTTCGTTCTAAACACTAACATTCTGGAGATTTCTCATGTGTCAACAACTATCTATCTATCTACAATACAATGGAAGGTCTCGCAATTAAATCGAACTGCATATTATTAGAACCGGTTATCCATCTTAACAATGTAATCGGTGTCAACATATGCAAAATAAAAGCAACATTTTACTTGTCTTTATTTTGTGAAACTATTAAGCCAGCAACCTAAAGATTTCTAATGTTGCAACAACGACTACAAAAATTATAAACTAATGTATACTAACTGGTTTGATTTTGCTTTGTTTTTTTTTTGTTTTAGGTATTTGTTAAGCTCATCAGACGGTACAAGTACCTTGAGAAAATGTTCGAAGAAGAGATGGGGAAAGTTCTATTATTCGTAAAGGGCTTTACTCCAAGTGAACGCATCAAGCTTGCGCGTATGACAGCGCTCTGGTTAGGTAAGTTATATAAAGGTCATTTGTTAATTATAGCCGGCCCAAACAGTTATTCAATTAGTTGAGTCTTGATGAACACTTGTTTGACTTGCAGCTGTGGGGCTAAAGTAAACTTACTCTTGGTATACTGACTTTAGGATAATTTAACCACTTCCAAAAGCCACGAGCCCAAGGACAAGGTCGCTCTCAAGCCTTATATTTTTATTTTATAAAAATGATTGACTAACTACATGCGTCTCTCTACCTTTACTCTGCAGTTAACGGCTCTGTACCGCCAAATGTCTTACTGGTACTAAACAACGAGCATCTGATCAAGGATGGCATTGCACTGGAGTTTCTACTAGAGCTGTTCCAGACGTTCAAGCAAGAGAAGGGCATTGCATATCTGATTCAGGCGCTTAAGAAGGGTGGACTGGAAAGCAAGTAAGTTTATTGGTTTGGTTGTTATTAGTGCGGAATGTTATCAGGAAGATGTTTCAATCAGCATGTTCTGCATCTTTAATTGATATTCCTAGAGTAAGATATTTTGACGGAGTTTTACCTGATTCGCAAATGGATGATATCTTCATTTGGGTGCCGATTTAATTTCGAACACTATAATAAATAAATCACAATAAATTTTTTAAACTGTGTTTTACTTAATTAACAAGTTTTGTTATCTCTTTTTCCACTTCAGACTTATGGACTTTTTCCCACCAAACAAACGTACTGAGGAATATTTTAAACAAGTTTTTCTTGACAAAGAACTCAACGAGATCATTAAGCTGCATAAGGCTCAGGCTAGCCAGGAGGCAAAGCGGGAGTTGCAGCAGGCCCTTATCGATGATATCAACGATGAGAAGCCACATAATGAGATAACCTCAGACATTAAGGAGTTCTCGCAACGTACCAACATTCCCGATCACGAAATAATTGTCATTGTAAGTCTAGTAAAACTTAATATGTGCTGACCTCGTTTCCTAGCCCAATCGAATCTATATATTTTTTTAGATTTGGTCTACCATCATGTCATTAGGTGAATGGAACAAGAAGGAGGAGCTGGTTACCGACCAGGCTGTTCGTCACCTGAAGACATATTGCACACTGTTGCAGGCTTTTGCCTCAACAGATCGCTCGGAGTTGGCTCTAATTCTGAAGGTGCAGGAGTTCTGCTACGAGAACATGAACTTCATGAAGGCCTTCCAGAAGATAATATTGTTGTTCTACAAGACGGAAGTCCTGTCTGAGGAGATTATCTTGCGCTGGTACAAGGATGGTCATTCAAATAAGGGAAAAATGCATTTCCTCGAACAAATGCGCAAGTTTGTTGAATGGCTTCAGTCAGCCGAAGAAGGTTAGTATTTCTAAAATTACAACTAGTGCAATTATTTGAGAATGGTCTTGTCCCAAATGACTCGATTCTGGTACACAATTGCAAGAGAATTTGAGTTTTT